TTACGATATCCTCCGGATATTCATTTTGCCAATAAATATCAAATTTATTTTTTAATGTTATTATACATTTCGTACACTAAGTGTAGGATAATCAACATTAAGATCATTACTTCGTATTTATGTAATTAAACACCAAGCATTCTTTCAATCATCTCATGTTAAAAATTCTAACCCTGTTATTCTGAAAGCTACAGAACTTCCCTCTCTTTATGATTTAACACTTTTGATGTTGACCAACTTAAAAAGCAACCTGAAATGCAACTCATATGGCTTTTCAGAAACCATGTGATATATCTTATCATAGATAAAAATCATAGAATATCCTCAGTGTTCCTAGTAGCTACTAGAATTTCCGAGTCCCAAAGACTCAAAACTAAGTAAAACATTTGCATCATCAAATGTAAATTTTTGAGTCCTACTTTTTTCCTTGGAACAGCTCGAGTTGAATCCCCGGACTGTGATGTACTGTCAACATTTTTAATTTGTAATTTTGCAAATCTTGGTGAAAATCATGTTTTGTTGTTTTTTAGATGGGTACTACCACATATGGCCATAGACATCTTTAACCCTTTCACAACGATAGGCTCCATATGGAGCCCTATTATGTAATACCTTTCAGGACAATAGACTCCTTTTGGCACCATTATTTTTATTCATATACATCAATGAAATTACAATATCTCCAGTTCTATTCAGTATTTTAACACCAAATTTTGACAAGATGTTCCCATCTGATACTCCATACTAAAAATTATATTTCAATGATAAAATTCAAGGTATAGGCCCCGGAGCTTGGGGAATTTGCAGTTTTCCCCTAAAAACCAACCTTACTTATCCATCACCAGGGCCAAATTTTCCTCTTATATTCACGTTGGGAAAGGATTCCATCTGCATTCATGATTAATTTATACAATCTCTTTCTAAATTCTGTCATCCCATTTTTGGTAGATTTGACTTAAGAGTTTATTATACCTATGTTATTTTATTCTAGGACATTCCTTTATGTTCCTCTATATTTATATTCCAAAACATGATAATAATAATAACCCATCATGATATACCATGACATCTCATTTCTTCTCAGGTGAAACAGAAAGATGCTATGAGTATCAGAATGATAATAACCAGAGATTTCATTTTAGGGTAAATCTCCCATTGACCTGGATGTCACATCTGTCTTTGCCCATGAATAAAATATCAAGTCATATTATATCATTGTGTATTTAACATGGAATTGGCTGAATGAGGATGTTTAACAGTCTATAGCTTAAAAAGTATATAATAATAAGAAAATAAAATACATCAATCAAGTTCCAAAGAGAATTGAACAGATGGGGCATTTAAGGAGACATTTTAAGAATAGATAAGGTACTGGGGAGATCACTGTTTGATAATAGTTATGTACTGTTAATGTATCTAGAATAATTCATGAAGCTTGATATAATGTTTGAGCTTAGTTCCTCATGTTTATGAATCTAGTTACTCTTGTAATAAGTAAATTGAACTTTTGTATTCTGCATCAAAAATTGATCATAATATTTAATCGATCAATTCATATATCATTTTCAGCAAAAAGTAACGGTTTTCTATGCTAAATTCCTTGATTATACTGAAGATTATATTGAAATATCGACTTTGTGCAAAATATCAATATGATTTCCAACCAATAATTATGTCAAAACTCGATAAGGATTTACTCACATATAGACGACATTTTATAATCAATGGCTACGTGTACACATTACATGTCATAAACATAAGGACCGTCTCTATAAGACAGTTATGAAATCTCTATCATCTACTTCATATTCTCATTAAGACAGTAACCATGCTACCCTTTACAAATGCTAGATTTCTATACTCTTAAATTAATAAATAGATTGAACTCTTTGATCTAGCATTCTAGCCTATATCCAATCACATGTTTTCTGTTCATAAGTAGCAACAATGCAACATTCATTTCAATTTTGGTACAAGTCAATCTGACAGGATGTTTTTATTGGCTATTGATTTAATTTCTGTTGAATCCCTATCTACGGTAGCAATTGTTAATGTGGGTACCATTATATAAATTACATTATACTGACTGACAAATTACACATATATTTTACAAAATTACCTTCATGATATGAGCAGCAATATTGATATCCAGTTTGATTTACATGAAAACTTTGAACCATCATCTAGGGTTCTACACCCTTTATAATTTCCCGGAAGATAACACAGGCCCGTAGCCAGGGGGGTTCAATAGGGGGTAGCCAGGGGGGGTTCAAAAAATCTTTCAAAATCATGCAGTTTTTCACCATGCTGAGCACTTTTTAAGTGATTTTGGCCATTTTTGGACCAAAATTGTCAAAAGTGAACCACCCCTAGAATTTTTCAAAAAGTGAACCCCCTTGGCAAATCCTGGTTAAGGGCCTTAACATATACTGTAACTGTGATATAATAAAGGGGGAAAATCTGAACTGATTACAGAATGAAATTCAGAACTGAGACTTGAGAACTGTTTCAAAATACATTATCTGTATTCCAGGATTCAGATTTTCCAGGGTCTAAAATAGAAAAAAATGATGACGTCTTCTCTTCTTTCTTCCATAAAACTGCAATTTACAAGAGACAAAGCCTATTCTTGATTAATATCCAAACGTGCCATATTTTTTGTAGTGTCCATATTCTACATGTACGCTTTGCTTTCGTTCTACTTTGCTTCTTAAAAGAGAGCTTCATCTTCACTCTTTCAGTTTTCAATAAATCACTGAACTCACTGCGCCAATCAGTTTGCCGTAGAAATAAGGACGATGGTAATTTTCTCTGACGTAATTGCATAATAATTATGCACACATTTAGCATAGGTTCCTTCCAGCTCGCTGATTGGTTCAGAATATGTCAGTGTGCTAGGTATGAAATGATTTATGACCCCAGCCCCCATGGGCATCGGTAGTGGGGGCGGGGCTGCTAAACTATAATAAAGTTGATACTAGGCAGAGGGTAGTTTATAACTAGACTTTGCACACAGGGTTTATTCTACATGTATCAGGGTGAACCTAAATGATGCAACCCACATTACCATTTGACAAATCTTTTTTGGCATAATCATCACTATAGCATGTGCATAGCCCATTTCCTGGTCATTTAAAGAACATGCTCCCAATGGCTACTACCTTTCTGCAAACTGACTTGCATATTGCGAATACATTTACATCAGAATAGGACTTGATCTGCCTTGGTATATTGCATAAAGTCTATGGAACTCCCTGTGCTAAGGGAGGGGGGCTACCACCTTTCTGCAAACTGACTTGAACAAGTATGAGTAGGACTTGATGTGCCTTGGTATATTGCATAAAGTCTATGGAACTCCCTGTGCTGAGGGAGGGGGGGGGGGGCTACAACCTTTCTGCAAACTGACTTGCACAAGTATGAGTAGGACTTGATGTGCCTTGGTATATTGCATAAAGTCTATGGAACTCCCTGTGCTAAGGGAGGGGGGGCTACCACCTTTCTGCGAACTGACTTGCACAAGTATGAGTACGTCTTGCATCAAAGTATGACTTGATCTGTCTTGGATATTGCATAGTCTATGGAACTCCCTGTGCTAAGGGAGGGGGGGGGGCAAAAACTTGTTGATAGACTATTCATTGTTTTTCAAAACAGCTGTTTCTACTCACAGATTGGACGGAACTGCTTATCTTAATTTCATGTTTTATCGAAAGCATATGCGCATGAAAAAATCAATACATTCCAATACAATAACATTTCAGTCAAACCAAACATTAAGTACAAATGAATAAAGTCACAATGATATCCTAAGCAATATGAGTCAGGACTCAAGAAATTTTATGGCGAAGATATTGCTTAAGCGAAGGCATGAGTCAGGATTTCACAAAATATATCACAGTCAAAAGAAAGCCCCAATAATAACCACCCTTTTCATTATTAGTATACTAGACTCTGACATTCAGGCTAATATATCACTCACTACCCATTACAAGAATGGTCATCTTCACCTAAATCTTTACCTTATTAATATCTTGAATTTGCCTAGCTTATCAGAACTGGCTATTGCTCTATCATCTATAAGTATGGCTACACTGTCAAACAACAGGAGGACATCTGGCTCTCCCTGACTAATGCCTGGGTCACATTTGCTCCGATTTTCACAACGGCGCTCGACCGATTGAGTATTTTGTACAAAATTGAATACAATATTGAGCAAAACACTCAATCGCCGGGGCGCCAGCCGATGGATCGGAGCAAATGTGACCCAGGCATAAAAGAAACAAATACTGAATACCATTACTCTTGATTTAGAAACTCACCAATATTGGCACCATTTGACTTTCAAAATGTGAATAGCATGCCTCATGATTAATAGGTCATGGGTTTCAACCCCCCTCCCCCTAGAAAAACTGTGGCAATGAACCCCGATATATGCAATGCTCTCTGATTGACAGAACAACCCATTATATTTTTCTGGTTATCGACTAAATAACCTGGACACTCTTTATAAAACTTCCAAAATCCAAACTTACTAAATGCAATCAGATTCAATCACTGCTTTATTAACAATGTTCATGCTTACATCAGTCAATACATTAGTGTTATGCTCGATGATTCATCAAACTAAATAGCTGATCCTCGTTAGAGGCTAGTACCAGATGATAATAGCCTAGGGTTACTTAAATCTAATGTTCCGATTAATTATATATGTACATCAGCTGTTTTATTGGGTCCGTTCTATTGTAAAATTCACTGGTCATTTCTCAGGGTAATCTTTAGAGAAAACTGAACAGAGTGCCAGAGCATTTTGAGCATAAAAATAAGTTTGTTTATATAAATATACTAAGTTTATAGGTAAGATATATTTCATACTAGGCATTTTTGACTGTTTATCGATCAATTACAAGGACCTTATAGTCATTAGTTCTAATATAAATAAGTTAATGTATACAAATACAGATAAGTTGGTTTATACAAATACAAATAAGTTGGTTTCTACATACCAGTTTGATTGCCACATGCTCATTGTTATATAGGTTTTTACCTGAAATAAATAATAATAAATTATACATCGCTATATAAAGATAAATATTGGAATCACAATAATGATCATTATTCATTCATGTTTGTTATACCGACCATTAGTGTTACCAGCCTTCAATATAATAAACAATATATTTCTAGGCACTAACACATGTCACAGTGTCCTTATTCTTCAAAGGGGCATATACGTATGAAACATCATATGTTGGGAGGGGGTGGTTCATTATGATTAATATTGTAAAATGAATCAATGTAAAATGTTCTACACAATATACTTTTCATTCAGTCCAGAACCTTTTTGGGAACTCAGGAATGAGGAGATATTTTATGTTGTACAAGAGAAAAGCATGAGTAAGTGTTGAGAAGACATGCCATCGCTCATTAACCAATCAGCTTCAAATTTGGTTTGCAAGGATTTTGATAGCAAGATCCTTAGATTTGAAAGACACAGCTCATTTGACACAAATACTGGTGGCAATCTAATCTTTGACTTTTAAGAAATAATCTAATCAACTTAGTGGCATATAACCTTTGATCAATATTACATGAAATTCTGTTTTCATACATACTGCCTTTTTCACAGCCTGACTGCAGACTTAACTTAAGATTGAGACTGTCACTAACATTCCAGAAGTCATTCCAGAAGTTAGTGACGTTCATGAATGCAAGCACATGTGTCAACCATTCCAATCAATATCCATGCGATATGAAATTAACTGTAAAACAGACCTCGCTACCTCACAAGTTTTGAAATTCAAATTTTGTTTGGTACGTACACGCGCACACGTTAGTCAATTTAAACTATATTTCCACATTTAGATTTAGAACCTTGCCAAGATTCCCTCTATCTACTCGAAAAATTAGAATCGATTTACATTTATTTCAAATCTAAGTCTTATTTAATTGTTGCTACGAAGTCAGGCTGTGAAAACGACAGTACTTTGTATGAAAAAAGGGGGATAGAGACAGACTTGCAGATAATCACTGCAGAAGGATGTAATCCGATGTATGGTTTGATACTTATGTAATCTTCATAGGAACTAAGTAATGCACATATGTCATTCTGATATGCCCTCACTTACCAAGACGTAATTCGCCAAAATTTCCACAACCTATTTTCTTTCCCACCCTAAAATTTGGGCCGACCATGAGCACACCCTGATTTCCAGAGCTACCTCTATTGGAACTATGCATTCCTCTAGTGCCTGGTTTAGATATTCTTCTGGGATTAGGGTCGTCAGCCCTCGTGTCTCTCTTCTGTGCTGAAGACATGGGATCAAGTCAATGACACCCTATAAAATTCCTGGAGATGCATGAACAACAAAATATTTCCGCTCTACATCCCTACATTGAGGCTCATAATCCGTTGATTTGTATCCAGATAAATTGTAATCCAAGTACACAAGGTACTGCTGTACCTTCTACTGAATGCATGTACGTGAAATAATTGTATTACGTGGCCATTTAGACATCGAAATTCTCACTTTATTCCATGAAATAATCTTGGACAACTTTTCCTAAAAATTAGATGGATTACTCACTGAACCGGTCACGAAATATTAATACTCGTTTGATCAAACCCGCTAATTTTGATTATTTTTCCTAATTCAAATTGTAAATTATACTAATTTTTACAGGGGTAAAAACGTTCAACTATTTGTATTGTGGCGAACGGCAAGGAAACAAAGAGAGGGAGAGATTTATATTTTTTGCGGATGAATATTTTATATTTTCTCTGCGCATGTGTCGAGTCACCTGACGGTAAACTCTTGTTTCGGCTACTTTATGGCATAGCAACGGCTGCTTACGATCGAATAAAAACATAAATGTACCATTTTTAGTTAGATTACAATCTTGTCTAAGATATGTATAAAAGTTAGGATTTATCATTGTCTAACCTAAGTGATATTAAGTGTTCAAATTTGGTTAATTACGACAAATATCACCCTACATGACGTCACTTCCGTATTTTTATGTTTTCAAAATGTCCGCCACTTTCAAAATTTTAAAATTTTGAAAAATATTGAAATTTTCAAATTTTACTGAATAAATAGAGCTATAAAGACAAGTCATTCATGCAGTATGATGTCTAAAGACAAGTTTTTAGTTGTGGTGTCTGTTCTTGAAGGTAAGACTTTGTAAATCTAAGACATTGAAATATTCCAATGTTTTCAATAATTTGTCATTGGTTCTCAGTTCTAATTTTTATTCTGTGAACCAGTTCATATGGTTAAAATAACGAAATAATGAAATGTTACCATGTGTCTACTTAGCAGTTTGTTCTATGTCATCCATCCTGCTAAGTTACATTGTGGAACTCCGCCAAACACGACACTGAAGGCCATATCGATCTTGATCTTAGCAGAATTCTTAGAAATTTAGATCTTCCATTTTGCAAGCTCACGTGACTGATCATGTGACATGTGTCTGATCACGTGACTTGTTACTGTATCGATTATGTAACTAAAGTACGTTTCACCCAACCATGTCTTCAAGGAAAACGTTAATGTTGAAAATGTTTTGCGAGCATTTGCTACTGATTATAGAAGGCCCAATTACGCAATGAACAGAACTGCTAAATTGTTTTTCATGCCTAACAGGCCTAGTACGACACGAACGAAACTGCTAAATTCAAAACCTATGGGAACAATATAAAGAAGATGAACTTACAACCTCAAAACTTCTGTGTTCATGCAGTAAACCCCACTGTTACCTCTAAACATTGGAATATAACTTATTTGTTAAGTGCAACATGTTCAATAGACACATTTAATTTACTAATATGTATATGAAATCTTACTACCGATTTTTAAAATTCTTAGTACCTCAAGCTTTTGCATCTAAAGGTGCACGTAAGATATGGCAAGCCATTTTCAAAGGGCTATATCTTTGGTTTGAAGAATAATTTAACCACAAAATCAAATGGTTCTGTTAGATCCATGTCTTATCTTCAATAAATGACATGAGGATGATAATCAAGTTGATTGGATTATCTCTTAAGCTGTCCCTAATCCACCCATCCTCACCAATTTTCCCTAATTCTGACGCAATTTTCACCACAAGTGCAGGCCTTTTTAATAATTTTTAGTGCAAAGTTGTATTGAACTTTCAGACATGATTTAAACTGTAAAGGGGAAAATTTAATTATGAACCTACTTTTTAGTATTTTTTTTCGTGATTTTTTTGTATTTTTTCTGATATTATAAGGTGCTTCATACTTATATTATACAATTACAAAATAGAGGGCAGCTAAGTGTCATAAATAATTTGTTTGTTACACTGTTTCAAACACTCGGATATTGACTTACTCAGCCTTATGGATTGCCTTAATCCTGTATTTTACCTTGACAATTGTTTGTGTGTAAAACAGTTGTGTCATTCACGTAGAGCTATTTATATACTGAACAGTTCTTTGTAATTACATGTGCCTGGTTTTGGCTATTCAATCTAGACTCTTTGTTTGGGCAGGCTGAAATGAATAAGTGTGAAAATAAAATGAATTACAGGGTGAGGCAAAAAATGTCATCCAAAGAAATGTTATTAACTCATTCATCCAGTATTCTATGGTCACAATTCTATGGCCATTCTACAAATTTCTGCCTCGTCCCTTCAGGCAGACCTGCACTGGTCGGTTGAGAATGTAAGGTCACCGTCACAGAAATTGTTCTCCTACTTGTTGTAGGGGTTGACATTATCTCAGAGATAGCCCGTAGTCATGAGATGAGGCTGGCATTTTGGACCATGTTTCGTTTTATAGCCATAAAATCCAGACTATTTGGGCAGGGTCAATTAAACTTAGTAAAATGAAAGAACATTAAACAAGGTTTTATTATGCGAAATAACACTTTAACAGATGCGGAATTTGTTTGGGCTACATTTTTGGCTCACTCGGTATTAGACTGCACTTTGATAGTATTCATGATGTCATATGTTGGGTAAAAGGCGATGATTTAACGTACTGTTGATGGCAAATTCATTTTAATACGAATGAATAGTGGCAGGTGCTATTTATATCTAATGAGCCATAAAATAGTAGGTTGATCTGGCAGCTGTTAGTTGAATTCTCGATACTACTTGTAATAGGGTTTCAAAGCCCGTGGTCACCTATGTTGTTTCTTCATCCTAGGTCAAATCCACTCAAGAATGCCCTTAATTACAATGGTGTTATATTAGATGCAGCATCTATTAATTTCTTAATCACAGCACCCCTAAGCTTAATCATAATTCCGTTGATTGACCTACAGCATAGGCCTAGGGAAAAGTAGTAGGAAGGCAGCTTATGAGTGCTCTCGATGTTCATAAGCTTACTACTAGTTTTACATAGGCCTATGGCCTACAGATAAGTTTGGGATCCCTTATTAAACCAAAACCTCTAATTCTAATTACAGCCCCTAAAAACAACAACCCCGAACCAAGTGCATGTGGCAGCCATTGAACCCAAAAGCATTTTTATATGCTAACCTATAATGAGACCCCCTTTAGTGAATAACAACCAGGTAGTCGTCTAAGGTATAGCAACATGTTCAGTTTGTAATTTTATAGAAGGTCACTGAATCCTCTAATCGTTCATTCAGTTATGGATAAACTATGAGTACTGGGTTTTATGAGAAATAATAGCAAAGGGGCTTGGCCTGAGGCTATTAGTTCTCATAAGACCCATTTCGAATAATTTATCTAACTTAAAACCCACACTGACTCTTAGGAAGGTTAAATGACCCATGATCCAAGTTTAGAAAAATTCTTTTGTATTAACTGTGAGGTAAATGTGTAGAGAAGTGGGTTGTTTTAATTGGTTCAGCTTCAATGCACCGCATGTATCAGGCAAGGTAGTTAAAAAGTGTATTTATTTTGTGTTTACAATTCAACTATTGAGTGATTGAAAATGGTTTAATAAGTACAGCTTCGGTGCACTGCATGTGACAGTCAAGGTGTAATATTGAGCCAAACACTGTCAATCATATTTTGTGCCACACTGGTTTTAGATAGCTTACGGTGTCCATTCTTCAAAAACAATACACCAAGAATGCACTCCTCTTTCTTACTACTGTACATTCTTGAAGGTGAAAAAGGTCTTCAAATTGATCAGTTTTTCAAAATCAGATCAGCAGGGTCTCAAAAATTCAAATCTGACTTTAGATTTTACAATTATTGACCGCCAATGACCTCAAAGTAAAAAGGGTCTAAAAGGTATTTTTCAACTTGCTTCGAATTGACCGAATTTTCAAAATCACCTACAAGTTCTCAGAAGTCAAATCTGACTTTTGAATTGACATTTGACCTCTCAAGTTCAAAAAGTTTAAAAAGGCATTTTCAACTTGCTTCAAATAACCTTTTCTTTTCAAGATTTGACTTAAACTACAAGGTGGTGGCATTAGTATCTCATACCCATGTACATGGGTGGTGATACAGTTTTGAAGGGTTCAGTTCTAAAAGATTATTCAATGTAATGCTATCTTAGGTATAAATACATTCATAGTATCCATAGATGTGAAATTCGTCTAGTCAAAGATAGATAGATATAGAGTCATAAAATAAAGCCAGAATTGTTAATTTTAGTTTTTCATTGATTGTCAAAATAGCGCCATTCAAACACTTAGGTCTACAAGTGCATTAATGCACCAACAATTCATATAATCTGAATAATCTGAAACGTTAGAATTAAACTCTTCAAAGAATATATCATGCGCCAAGTACGCGGGTAAGTGGGTACGAGGTATAAGGTTTTTCATACAAAGCCTGAGGTATTGACTAAGAGAATAGAGTGATCGAGTGACAATATCATAATTACACAAGGCAATACACCTATTGTCAAAGGGTAAAACCCATAGCATTAAACTGTTTATTCCATAAAAATCCCAATCAGCAAAAACAATCCAATAAAAAGAACAGGCGCGTTTATTGGCAAATAATATCCCCATGGTCAAAATAAATAATTCTTAGATGTAACATGAAGAATTGAATGTTATATAACTCTTTGGAAAATATTAAAGTGCTCGGGCACATATAGGCTGAGATAGGGGCCATTTAGTTCAGTAAGGTTGTATTGACTTACATGGGACTGTGCATCATTGACTTAACATGAGGATATCAGCAGATCCCTATAGAGGCCATTGGTTTCCATTGATTATCACCAAAATACTAAAAATACACTACGACCTGAATCGACTGCAACCTTGATAATTTCATAATATGACACAAATGGTTTATCTCATCAAATGTGCAATTATGAAGTTTGCAATCGGTTCAGGTCATACTTAAAATTAAATGATTGTGCATTTTTTCATCATTTTTTCCCTACAAAATGGCTATAGAAAAATGCTCCAAAAACAACTTTTACACTTATCAAAAATCATACAACTTCGTAAAACCAAAGAATATACTATTATGTTTCATTATGTAGTAACATATGTGGATAAGATGTAGGGATGCTTAGGATGCAAATGGATTTTGACAGTCATAAAAATACTTCCTGGTTTGGAATCTATGCCTCTACACTTCATGATTGAATTATGACCCTAATAAGTGGCCTATACATCAATACAGTGCTGAATATAGGTCAACAAGATACTAGTGTGCATATAAATGTAATAATTAAAGCAGAATACTCATTTTGAAAAATCAGATGAACTATTTTTTTCTCATAGGGAGATCCCAATGGAGAGTGCATATGGTCCTTAGAAATGAACAAAAAGTGCAACAAATGTTTGGCCAAACCATTGGAGAAAATTATTATCTGCGTGTACTCTGTATACAGTGGTACCTGTATCAATACCTACTACATATAACACTATTCGAAAGATCATTTATGTTTTACTGAACATACTTTACACGACACAGTCATGTTGACATTATCCATGCTCATTTCTATAATACGCAATTATGCAACATTGAATACACACTCAGGGTATTAAGCACTCGCCTATGTACAATATATCATGCCATCTATGGAACATATATAACTCTATCTATAAACATCATTGCATAAAATAGGGTACATCAAATGTCGCTCTAAGTGACATCTTTTCATACACTTCACACTAAGGTCATGGCCTATGAGGTAAAAATGACAAATGGATTATCAGATAATGCTTATCTCATTTAGATCATTTTTTTCTTTTTGGAAATCAATCATGTGAAATAGCTCAATGTTTTCGTGCATTAATCTCATTAAAAAATTGCTATTTTTAGGTAAAAAATTCGGCCTAAAAAAGTTATTGTTTTTGGATTATCCTAATCCCCAAGTAATCAAGTTTTCCTTTTTAGAGGTAGATCATTCCTTGCAATAAATTGTAATTTTGCCATAAAAGCTGAAATAAAATGCTGCATTTTTGGTGAAAATTGCGTCAGAATTAGGGAAAATTGGTGAAGATGGTTGGATTAGGAACAGCTTAAGAGATAATCCATTCAACTTGATTATCATCCTACTGTCATTTATTGAAGACAAGACATGGCTCTAACAGAACCTTTTGTTTTTGTGGTTAAAGCGTTATTCGAACTAAAGATATAGCCCTTTGAAAATGGCTTGCCATATCTTACGTGCACCTTTTCTGAAATTGATGCATATGTCTTTTTGCTTGTAAGGCCTATGATAAATAACAGTACTAGAATGATCTAAAACTTGTTTTTTGTATTAATAGCAGAGTTGTTCTTAATAACCATTTTTTTGAAGAACTGAAATAGATAATTAATTGACTGGACCTCACTTCAAAACCCTGAAAACTGAATATGGAAAAATAAGTGAATTACTAGTGACTTACAGTACTTGTTATTTGAATATGCTATATGAAACACTTATGGTAATTATATTCTGATTTTAATTAATCAAACCCACCTAAACCCTATTACATGAAACTGTAAGATCATCTGACTGAGTAAAATGTGTCAGTGGGAAATATGTACCATAATATATGCCATTTATACTAAGGGTATTCAGTTCTAACAAAGAGAAATGCTTGAATGAAAAATGTAGGAGTAAAATATTGAGGCTGAAATGTCTAGGGGTGAAACTTCTAAGGGGTGTCTTGGGGGTTAAACGTCTAAGGGATGAAATGTCTAGGGTGTAAAATGTCTAAGGGGTGAAATGTCTAGGGGTGAAATGTCTAGGGGGTGAAATGTCCAGGGGGTAAGGTGAAATGTCTAAGGGATAAAATGTCTAGGGGTGATATAACCAAGGGATGAAATGTCCAGGGGGAGAAACGTCCAGGGAGTGTATCGTCTAAGGGGTGAACAGTCTAGGGGTGAAACGTCCAGGGGGTGAAATGTCTAGAAAGCCTAAATTACTATTATATTTATAAGGTAGCGTCGAGTACAGTTTATTGCACTTAGGTTGTACGTCAATAAAAGCTAAACATAAGCAATTAAAAGACCACAGTGTAATATTATATGGAATATAAATTCATATTCTACACTCAAAATGTTATGTATTTCAGATAAATTAGTTTTACATACAATAAATCCGTGGCCTCTTGTAACCTACCTGCGTGACATTCTATTTATATTCTTAAGGTAAGAGATTTCCCAAGAGGCTTAGGCATGAGCTAATCGCAGAAGCAAGATTTGACGGAGAGCTTCTTGCCACAGACCCAGTGGCCCATTCTCAGACCCCTGACTTTACACAGGAGCTAGCTTGGGAACTGGATAAAAGAGGGCTCCACCAACACAAACTACAAAGGTCTTCAATCAAAGTAAGTGGTTAGAAAATATAATGCAGCCAGAAAAAGAATATATTCTAGATCTTGAAGCCCTGTGATCGGAGGTGGAAATCCACATTTTAAAGATTAACAAGAGGAATTTTGATTATGAAATAAAATCTTTTAGACATAATATGCTTATTTAATTCGTCAATTTTTAATACCACAAAATAAATAGCATTATGTGGAGAAGACATAATTGTAGACATGTGGGATGACATTGCCAGAAGAAGTCTTATTTTGAAGAAGTGTATTTTTGAAGAGAATGAATTTTTTGCAAGGGAATTGGAAGGGAAAGAGAGCTTAAGATGTTGAAAGCAATATTTTCAAAAATTAAAATCATGCCAGTATTTTCCTTACATATATTTTTATTTGCCAGGTGCAATGCTATGCTGTGGACACCCAAAGTACAATGAAGGAACTTGTAGGCTATGTCATGCTAGATATACGATCAGCGCAAACTAAACAGGTATATTTTCAAGTCATCACATATTTAATTGTTATAGCTAACATTTTCATGGCTGATTTTTGGTCTTGATGCAGAATCTCTAAGAATTGTTAAACTTTTGTGGGGCAAGTTCAGCGATTTAACCAGAATCTCATAGAATGTGATGCAAAATTGCTGAGGCGAAGTTAAAGGGGAAAAATGTTATCATAGAGTTGTAAGACTTGAAATTTTCAAAGTTGCAATTTAAAAAAATTGGGCAATCAATATTTTTCTGTAAAATTTTGGCAAAGCATTTTTGTGGCATTTCTCTAAAGTTGTTTGTGCTTTTGTAGACGACAAAGTGGTACCCACTGTTGAACTCAAAGTATAGCAAAAACAAGCCAGAGTTGAAGGTTGGCGTCTACATAGATAATGACGTGATCTCGCAACAGACATTCAAAGCAAAGGACGCACCTGCTAGAAGAGGGGAAGGTATGTGTTTCAGTCATTTTTATTGGTTCACAACTTTGTTATAGTCTCCAACTTTTTTCACAGAGTCTAACAAATTTGTACAGCATCTGTAACAAATGGCAGGTGGTGAAAATTTGCATATTTATACATTTTCATTTTTATTTTCAATAAACGTGTTAATTTATTTATTTGAAATTACACTATTTTTTCCATTACATTTTGTATTTCAAAACATGGCCAAATATATGACCTCCTTTGTAATACTTGTCTTTATATTGCAACACATACTGAATTAATATTAGTAAAATAAATATAAAATATGCCTTTGAATTGGAATATAAGTCTCTGAGTTCTAATTTATGCCATTGGAGTATATCTCATTAAATTGTAATATGTGTCATTGAATTGCGATATGTGTCATTAAATTGAAATATGTGTCATTGAATTGCAATATATGTCATTAAATTGTAATATGTGTCATTGAATTGCGATATGTGTCATTAAATTGTGAAAATTTCATTAGAATAGAATATATTGAAACATAAAGAAAATTTTGAGATGTTATGAGAACATATGATCATCCTTCGTATGTCATTGGAATTGCAATATATGCAGATGTTAATGAATTTTCTATTACAGCTCCTGCTCTAGACTCTCCATTAACAGAGAGGAGTGAAGTGAACCCACATAGTTTGAAGCCTGTGTTGAACGAGACAGAAGGATGGTACCAGATTGGCCCAGAGCACAAATGCACGGACCAGTTCATTCTGTCGGTTACTGTGGCATTTGCGGCCAATCTAACACAGGTATTGAACGAATTAAAGGGTTGTTGTCACTTTGTTGTTTTCATCCTTTCATATCTAGAACTGCTGTTGTATGTTATATCAGTTAATGCGTTTATATTTTAAGAACGTACAAGACATTAAATAGTGATTCTGTATTTTCTCTCCAAAATTGGAATTGACTCTTTTGCATCTGCTTTTTCATGTCAACTCTTGTTGTAGTCTCTTTTTGTGGACTGTTTTCTGCATTTGGCAGTCTTTGTTTCTCACAAATTGCCATCCTCCTAAGCAGGTATCCAGAATCCATACCTCCTTCTTCCCCCCTGCTATAACCAATTTGGAAGCTCCCGATTAAACTGAATCAGGTGATCTAATTTTGCGCATTGACTTATACATGATTTCTGTCGCAGTGTTGCGACAGCCAATCAGATTGCAAGTTCTTAATCGGGGAAATCCTAACTGCTTATCGCAGGGGGTAAAAAGAATGAATATATTCTGGATTTTGAAGCCCTGTGATCGGAGGTTGACAAATTGCACGTGGTTACATTTTGGATGTTTCTGCCTTGTTATTTAATTTAAAGTGTTAACTTGTCATTTTGTTTGCTTTATTTTTGCCAATTACATCTTGGTGGGGAATTTGATGATTTTTTCTATAAGGAATCACTTTCTCAAATAGAAAATAAATTTATAATCATATATAATTTTGCGTCTAATTTCAGCTTGTACCAAGTAACTTCCTACTTCCTGCCAATGCAAATGGATACTTTTTCTATTACTCCTTATTTGGTAATGATGTTAGTAATGAACCATTTAAAGATTTGATGACTCCAAACTTTGCTGCTGAGCGTGCCTCCGTTAGACTTAGAAGCAGCATTGATGCTCTGATGGTGTTTCTGTCCACACAACCAGGCCTTGAGGTGATTTTCAAATACAGTTAAACTTGTGAAAATAAGACACCTTTATTACCTGAAAATAGTGTTACACCTGGAAGTTGTTCCACTTACAGGGGGCGATTTTACATTGGGTAAATGAGAGACACAAAAAGTAATGTATTTTTAGTAATTTTAATGGGAAATCTAGCCAAAAACGTCTGACTAGGGAATTTATAGTATCTAATATAGTATAAATATCAAGTCATGATTTTATTATGTCGTAAAAACATTATTTATAAAAATATGAAAGAAAGTTGGTTAAAGTTTACTTTGTTGTTTTGTGTTCTTTATTGTTAATAATTTTTACCATATTTGGGTATATTTTAATACACATAATTAGAGGTTAAATGTTCATTTATTTACAGCTGCATTTATGCTGTGGGGACCAATCTCTGGGGAGCAGTAAAATACCACTGAATACCACTGAATTTTTATTGATTTATTTACAGCTGCATTTATGCTGTGGGGACCAATCTTTAGGAAGCAGTAAAATACCACTGAATACCACTGAATTTTTATTATTCATTTATTTACAGCTGCATTTATGCTGTGGGGACCAATCTTTAGGGAGCAGTAAAATACCACTGAATTTTTATTGATTTATTTACAGCTGCATTTATGCTGTGGGGACCAATCTTTAGGAAGCAGTAAAATACCACTGTATACCACTGAATTTTTATTATTCATTTATTTACAGCTGCATTTATGCTGTGGGGACTAATCTCTAGGGAGCAGTAAAATACCACTGAATTTTTATTGATTTATTTACAGCTGCATATATGCTGTGGGGACCCATCTTTAGGGAGCAGTAAAATACCACTGAATTTTTATTCATTTATTTACAGCTGCATTTATGCTGTGGGGACCAATCTCTAGGGAGCAGTAAAATACCACTGAATTCGCTATTGAAAAAGGGGAGCACAGAGATATATATGAAACCTGTCTCAATCGAAGGTGCTTTTGAGGTGAATACACTATTATCAAAAACAGTACCAAATTGGTACCAATTCGCCACCCAGATTAGCTTGGCTGAGAATATGTACCATTTTGGATAAATGTTAATTGATTGAATTTGTTCAGCGCTAATCAAATTTTATGACGGGATTTCTCTCCATGCTGCCTCCGTCACATTAGATGAATTAAAAAGAAATGTGCATTTAAAATTTTAATAGTGTCAACTAATATTGAAATTCTTGTATAGTTTTAGTCAATATCCTTTGCTTTCACTGGAGGTAAACAATTTTCACTATCCACCTCTAATGAAGTGAACAATTGTATAATTTTTGTTTTGTAGTTGATACCTCCAAATAGACATAGAGAGCAATTAACACCTGTTCCAGAAGAACTGCAACCAATCGTTGGGATATCTATTGTTCTCAAGAAAGAAGAGCAGGTATTTCGAGGGAGCCGGTCTGTTAAATTCAGTATTTAGTGTGTTATGGATATAGGATTACTTTGTATCAGTTAGACTAATGCAAAACACCATTTCACAGCTTTGTGCATTTCAAACCTCAAAAAAGAGCGTGTATTTAAAGATTTCTAAGTTTTTATGTCACCACCAGAATATATTTAAATTATGTCATCTTTATATTGTAAAATGTATGTATTTTATATACTTTATCTATATGTATGTATTTATATATTGTTGTTATTCTTTTCTAGGGAATTTCAACGCCAATTAAAAGCATGATTCCAAATATGGAAATGCCATCTCAACCCAGACAATATCAATCCCCACCTGAAAAACTTCCCAAAACACACCAAAATGAAAATAAGCCATCAGAAGTTAAAAAGACCCCTCCAAAGGACCAGTCCAAGCTTAAACATCCTGAAGAAATCTTATCGAAATCAGCTGAGAGTTATACGGAAAGTTTTGAGGAGGAAAAAACAGACCAAGATATCAGTAATATTTCAGTAGAACAGCGAAAAGAAGATGGTTAGTTTTACTTCATTCTTATTTCACTCTATTTCTCAAATATTTCTCGATTTTCTTACATTTCTGTACAATTTAGTATGATGCCTACACCGTTGTTTACTTTATTCCTTGCTAATAGACCTCCTGACTAAACCCTGCCACGTTTTGGTGTATCAAATAAACTATGACATATTGGCTAGATTGATGATGTTCATTGGTTACGTGTTTTCAAAATTAGCAATAAGATTATCCTATTTTTTCTTGGACATATTGCTACTTGCAACCTATGACATCATCAATCAAAAATACAACCAATGACATCATCAATCTAGCCAATGTATCATAGCTTCTTTGATACACCAAAAGGTGGCAGCATTTATTGGAAAGGTCTATCTCTCTTTTTGATCTATTTTTTCGTTTCAAATCATGATGAATATGTCAAAAATTTTCAGTTTTTCAACACTCTGAGCACTTTCAAGGGGTTTTGGGCCAAAATGGTCAAATGTGAACCCCATGGAATTTTTATAAAAAGTGACAAAAACTGGCAATGGCCTGATTACCAACATTTTCCTTGTAGGTGCTAAAACAAAGAAATCTCCAAGTGATAAAACTAAAACATCAGAAAAGATGTCACCAGGAGTGAGAGCTGTTTCTCTCCCTCCAGACCCCACCCCCTCCACTGAGAGTAGCACCACCCAGGCACATATAGCAGTTCCTCAGCAAAACCACCATTTCTGTTTTTCTATTGATCTTCGTAGTATTCGGGATTTTGATACAAAAACTTACGTCAATGTGTTTTTAAGGTTTGAATTAGAATTTTATCTCTTTGATTCTTCATGCTTTATAATTCATATTTTCCTGAATTATGTAATTTTGTACTCTGAAGCTTTAAAGGCCCCATGTAAAGTTTGATAACATTGGGCAAGACTGTAATATAAGCTAAAGGGGTTTAAACTTTATATGGGGCCTTTAATGTTTTTCAGGGAAGAATATGGATTTAATTCCAAGATATATCAAAGTTCACACAAAAAGCTCCTTGTGATTTACAATGATGTTTATAACTATTTTTGGCTGCTTGTGAATAAAAAAATGTTTTTTGGCATTTTAGGTATGCTTATCCATTTTTTGGAAGTGCAGCTCCAATTCTTACTCAGCCAGCTGTCGAGGTGAGGAGAGGCACAGAAGTTTTGCTCCCTCAGTCTTTCTGTGCTTTTAACTTTGCTACCACACCGCAACAGTTGTTCGACACAATCGTCAGGTATGATTCTCATGAAGTGCAGGGGTCATGGGTTAAAATACTTAAAGCCCTGTGTAAAATTCGAAAAGATAATATTACTTTTCATGACTTGAAAAAACGTTTGAGACATCTTTTGAAGAAAATGACTTCATATGTTTATCTTATAATTTTCAGTTACTTGAATTTCCCACCATTTTAGAAAAAAATAAATGTAGATCATCAAATACAACACTTTAAAACACAGTATTTTCTCTACTTTTCTCTATTGAAAAAGAGAAATAAAAAAACAAAGGAATAGAATAAACAGGCATGGAGTCAGAACTCGTTATTGAATATAAATACCATGGAATCCAGAATTTCTAATTTTAAAGAGATATTGAATGGAATAACCAAGAGGAGATAGACAGAGTTAGTAGAAATTAAAAGTAAAAACATTATTTTTTAAATATATAGAGTTTTTATATTAACTCCCAAAATCAGAACTCATCATTGAATAGAAATACCATGAAATCAAGAATTTCCAGAATATATAGAGTTTTTATATTAACTCCCAAAATGTTTGAACATCATTGGGTGGGTGAGCCCATTAGTTAAGAAAATGAATTATATGGATAGTTTATAAATGAAAATTTGAGATGATCGCTAATATCATATGTTCCTTATTTCCAGTGTACCTTTAGTTGTTGAAGTTTGGGACAGAGATCGTCAGAAGGCACAAGACACCATCCTCGGAGTTGTAAAACTTCCACTTACTCATATATTCCAGTCGGAAAAAACTCGTATTGTTAAAGAAGATGGCACCACAGGTATGCGACAGACATTTACAGATCATCTCCCAATAATATCAGCTGACGGGTAAGTTAACATATGTGTAAGTAAAATGTCATGGGTGAGTTTAAATTTCAAAATAGAGTGAAAAAGAGTGACATTTGTAGGGAATAAAGTAAACACACATGCAGTTAATACTCTAAATTGTATAGAAATGCTAAAAATATAGACACTTCTTTCAAATTTTAATGAGAAATTGAGTGAAATAAGCATGAGCAGACAACATTTTGACAGAAATAGAAATGAAATAATTACAAGCAGATGAACATTGTACATAGGATCAATAGCTGAATAAAAGATTGTTGTAATTTCGTAATCGCAAACATGTTTTGACATTTTACCATGACACTAGACTAATGTCACAGTGCCTGTTGCATATAATAGAACATTAATCCCTTTGAAAATAGCACAAATTGCCTGCAAGTCATCTGATATATGTGTACTGTTTTTCAATTGTAGACAATTACGCAAACTTGGGGAAATCTTTGTACTACTTAGTCTGGAAGATTTAGGTCCTATTAACTTACAGCGTGTGGCCGTAGGCGAGGACACATCACAGGTCAGTTTAAAAATAGACCTTGATTTGCAAGTTTTAAAAAAAACTGAAAGTAATTTGGTTTTAAAACCTCGAGTCATCAAACGTTTTCATCAGAAATATCTGTCGTTCCGAGAATTCAAGATGAACTAATTATTGTGCATGATTTTTACAGAGTGAGGCAACAACGATAGGTGCCCCACCTCCAAGACAACATGCCCCACCCCCAGTCCAGAGTGACCCACCCCAAGGTCAGAGTGCCCCACCCCTAGAACCAAGGGAGACCCAGGAATATCAAGCTGCAATGGAACTTGAAATGTGGAAGCATGCTCAAGAAACTGTCTTTGAAAAACAGGTAAAGATTTGCAACAAATCTTAGATTGTGATACTTTGAATGGTAGGAACAAACAAGCAACCAATCAGACCGTAGACATGTCACTCATGATATATGTTGCATTGAATAAAAATTGAACTCAGTTGATACTTTGTTCCGTAAAAGCCCAAATTTTCAAGGTGCCCTAATTTCCGCTATATTCGCATCTGGGTGTTCAGCGCGAATTCAAGAGCACATGGATTAAAGGGCACATTGATTCAGTGGTAAAATGAATATCTATTTAATAGTTGAGTTTGTTACAATAAATCTATTGTTTTCTTGGAAATAGATTCAATTTATCAACTCTGGAATCCATTTGGGTCCATCCTTTAGTCCACATCCCACAGGTACAGGATTCATCAGTGAATAAAACGTTATTGTGACTATAACTGTTGGTTACTTCTGATTATCGCGACTTTTTAATCAATGATTACCACTGTGAAACCACTGTATATTCATCTTAGCCCCATTTACACTCGTACACAGCATTCCAAGATGGCTAGACTAACAGCTCTTATACCATTTTTCGTGAGTTAAAACTACTATTTTCAAAACATTTTACAAAATATGTTAGAGTTTACACTTGTTTTAAAAGATGCTTTGAAGTAGGTTAGGTCTCCATGAAAGAAACATAGTTCAGCAGTTGCGAAAGGATGGTTAAGACACTAAATGTAGTCACTTATTTACGTTGACCTTACCTCTTGACTAAGAGCTCTTATACCATTTTTAGTGAGTTAAAACTACTATTTTCAAAACATTTTACAAAATATGTTAGAGTTTACACTTGTTTTAAAAGATGCTTTGAAGTAGGTTAGGTCTCCATGAAAGAAACATAGTTCAGCAGTTGCGAAAGGATGGTTAAGACACTAAATGTAGTCACTTATTTACGTTGACCTTACCTCTTGACTAAGAGCTCTTATACCATTTTTAGTGAGTTAAAACTACTATTTTCAAAACATTTTACAAAATATTTTAGAGGTTACACTTGTTTTAAAAGATGCTTTGAAGTAGGTTAGGTCTCCATGAAAGAAACATAGTTCAGCAGTTGCGAAAGGATGGTTAAGACACTAAATGTAGTCACTTATTTACGTTGACCTTACCTCTTGACTAAGAGCTCTTATACCATTTTTAGTGAGTTAAAACTACTATTTTCAAAACATTTTACAAAATATTTTAGAGGTTACACTTGTTTTAAAAGATGCTTTGAAGTAAGTTAGGTCTCCATGAAAGAAACATAGTTCAGCAGTTGCGAAAGGATGGTTAAGTCACTAAATGTAGTCACTTATTTACGTTGACCTTACCTCTTGACTAAGAGCTCTTATACCATTTTTAGTGAGTTAAAACTACTATTTTCAAAACATTTTACAAAATATGTTAGAGTTTACACTTGTTTTAAAAGATGCTTTGAAGTAGGTTAGGTCTCCATGAAAGAAACATAGTTCAGCAGTTGCGAAAGGATGGTTAAGTCACTAAATGTAGTCACTTATTTACGTTGACCTTACCTCTTGACTAAGAGCTCTTATACCATTTTTAGTGAGTTAAAACTACTATTTTCAAAACATTTTACAAAATATGTTAGAGGTTACACTTGTTTTAAAAGATGCTTTGAAGTAGGTTAGGTCTCCATGAAAAAACATAGTTCAGCAGTTGCGAAAGGATGGTTAAGTCACTTATTTACGTTGACCTTACCTCTTGACTAAGAGCTCTTATACCATTTTTAGTGAGTTAAAACTACTATTTTCAAAACATTTTACAAAATATTTTAGAGGTTACACTTGTTTTAAAAGATGCTTTGAAGTAGGTTAGGTCTCCATGAAAGAAACATAGTTCAGCAGTTGCGAAAGGATGGTTAAGTCACTACATGTAGTCACTTATTTACGTTGACCTTACCTAATTTTAAATCCAGACTTTGCCCTTGTTAATGTTTTGTTTTGTTACAGCTACGTAATAAAGAAGAAACATACATGAAGACACTGGCTGAGGAGTGGAAAAGAAGGGATATGGATCGGGAAATCATCATGAAAAAGAAAGTGAGAATATGTGCATTTTTATATATGGTATCCAATATGTATGCTGGATGTTCATTGGCTTATTTAAAGTCACATGATATGAAATAGAGAAAGCGAGAATATGTGCATTTTTATATATGGTATTCAATATGTATGCTGGATGTTCATTGGCTTATTTAAAGTCACATGATATGAAATAGAGAAAGCGAGAATATGTGCATTTATTATATACCCCATGTGTATCCTGTTATTGTCTTCTTTATAGTCACATGATATGAAATAGAGAAAGTTAAACTATGCTCTTTTTACCCCTTATGTATTCTTAGTCACATAATATGAAATAGAAAATATGTGCATTTTTTAAATTACCCCATGTATATTTTCCAATAAAAATGATACAGGACCTTTATATTTTAGTTGCAAGAATATAGCGAACTTGAGAAACAACTGCGTTCCACATTGGCAGACGTGGACAGAAGAGATAAACAACTTGCCGCAAATGAACAGGAAGTAGGTGCAATAGAATCAGTGGCCATTTTGAATGAGTGTTTATTTTTAAAAAAAAAACATTTTGGAATTGGAACTAGATGATGGCAACTCCGCAGAGTAGCAAATCCCAACGAACAAAATATCAATTACCGAATTCCAATCAATCATTACTCATTACTTTGGTTAAAATTGAAAAATTTAGATTTTAGAATTGCGAATTCCTGCAAAGCATCACAAATGGCAGATGGTGACATTTTGCATGTTAATGCCTTGTTTCATTTACAGCCTCTATATTATAAATCTGTCCATTCATTAGACATTGTATTGAGTACACTTGTACATCCCAAATGTGCATCAGCATTATATGTAGGCAGTCACACTAATTACACTTTTGTAATCATACGTAGGCAGTGACATTATGTCACCGCCAAAATTGGTTACATTATGTCACCACCAAAAATGGTGACATTATGTCACCACCAAAAATGGTGACATTATGTCACCACCAAAAATGGTGACAATGTTATGGTCTTCAACTATTTTGTGACAGCATTGGGCAGTTGGAATCTAGTGTCTGGTGTTCGGGGTCTGTAACAAATGGCAGGTGGTGATATTTTTTGCATGTTTATGCCTTGTGTTTATGTTTTAAGGTGATGCGTTTACGTGTGGATCTCCAACGAGAACATGAGCGTAAGTTAGTCGAGACACGAGAAGCTTCGAGAAGAATGAAGGAAGATTGTGAGCACCAGGTGGCGCTAGAGAGGTCAAAAGTTAGTGACCTCGAGCACCAAATAACGCAACACAAAGACCAGGTCTGTTATAGCCTATTTTCATAAAAATATGCTTATTATTATTTTTATATTTATTTCACCTCCGTTTTTGAAGATAATAATTAATTAAAACATAGAATGAGATAAACAGTAAAAACATGGATAGAGACCAGGGACACAGTTCATAGTGCACTTCCATCAACTCAAAAGAAAAGAAATATCTACCCAAGGTTGACGCTCCCTCTCAGTATCTAAAACACTGGTCATTCAGTGAATATGGGTCCCTTGGTTGGCCCGTCCGTGTACCCTACGTATTTTTCTTGATGTAAAACTTGATCGCATGATTTAAAAACCAGAAGCATAGCCAAGATCAAAAAAAATATGCTGAGGCAAATGTAAATAGGTGAGGCAAATATAAATAGGTGAGGCAAATGAAAATAGGTGAGGCAAATATAAGATAGGTGAGGCAAATGTAAATAGGTGAGGCAAATATAAGATAGGTGAGGCAAATGCAAATAGAGGAGGCAAATGTAAATAGGTGAGGCAAATATAAGATAGGTGAGGCAAATGCAAATAGGTGAGGCAAATATAGATATAGTTGAGGCAAATGTAAATAGATGAGGCAAATATAGATATAGGTGAGGCAAATATAAATAGGTGAGGCAAATATAAAATAGGTGAGGCAAATGCAAATAGGTGAGGCAAATATAGATATAGTTGAGGCAAATGTAAATAGATGAGGCAAATATAGATATAGGTGAGGCAAATATAAATAGGTGAGGCAAATATAAGATAGGTGAGGCAAATGCAAATAGGTGAGGCAAATATAAATAGGTGAGGCAAATGTAAATAGATGAGGGAAATGCAAATAGGTGAGGGAAATGCAAATAGGTGAGGCAAATATAAATAGGTGAGGCAAATGTAAATAGGTGAGGCAAATATAAGATAGGTGAGGCAAATGCAAATAGGTGAGGCAAATATAGATATAGGTGAGGCAAATATAAATAGGTGAGGCAAATGTAAATAGGTGAGGGTGAGGCAAATATAAGATAGGTGAGGCAAATGCAAATAGGTGAGGCAAATATAGATATAGGTGAGGCAAATATAAATAGGTGAGGCAAATGTAAATAGGTGAGGCAAATATAAGATAGGTGAGGCAAATATAGATATAGTTGAGGCAAATGTAAATAGGTGAGGGAAATGCAAATAGGTGAGGCAAATTTGAATAGATGAGACAAATGTTAATAGGTGAGGCAAATATAGATATAGGTGAGGCAAATTTTGGCTGAAAGAGGTATATTATTCCATATGGACTTTGATTAAACAGTGTCTGAAATATAGGCTATTTTGTAAATTTTTTGTGAGGCAGTTGCCTTGCCTGCCTCTTGCTTCGCTTAACACCTATGATAGTTATTTGAAATTTCTTGAAGCAATTTGTTGTTTGTCTATTGGATATGTGTTTAACTCTAAGCTTGGTACAACTTGTTTCACAATTTGGATATTTGGTAATGTTTGGTGAAATATGAATGAGTCAGATGTATATGGAGACTTTTGAACATTAGTATTCATGATTGATAATTAATTAATCATTTATTCAATTGTTGATAACAGGTTTCTGTTTCTCCAAAAATAACAATTTGCATTTGTGCAATTGTGTAATTTGTTATGATCAATGATTATTATGAAATGTTTTTATAAATATAAATTTAGAATGAAACGTCAAATTGAAAAAGGATTTATCTCGTAACTATGTTATAGTTTATTTATCGCATTTTCAAAAATAGACAATTAAATGAAATAACTGTATGTTATGAAGCGACATAAGTGGTAGGTTCTTTTTGAGATTTTACTAAAATGCAACTGTACGGTTGGTAAATGCTCATTGGTAGTTCTTAGCTGTAAAAACCCATTCTACACTGAACACTGAGGTACTTTGTGTTTGCCATTCCTGGTTACATGTAAGATGAATAAACTCCTACCTGCAACCAGCCTCAACCAGTTAATTTTGTTTAAATCGACCTCTTGACTACCCAGAATGACGATTTTTTGTCACCTCAGAAATGACCTAGAAACCCAGAGCGACATGGTAATCGGTCACAAAAATTTTCACTAAAGTTGCTCTTATTTGAACAATTTTCCTCTAATTCACACAAAAATTGTATGATAATGTCTAGAAATGATTGCATTAAACCTTTTCATCAAATCCTTTCCAGGAAAGCCACTTATCCATCCAACTTGAATTTTTACAGATGCAAGAGCAGACATGCCAAGATTTGATTAGGTTTTGGGCATGTTGGGTAAATTACTTGGCTGCTACTTTGTGCAATATTTATCGTCTTTAAAATGTAACGTGGATATATCATCTCTGTTTTAGATATCAGAATGGGAGAAAAAGTATCAAAAATTAGACACAGATTTTATCACATACAAAGAACAGCAGAGTAGTAAACCAGAAGTGAGACTTCAATCAGAGATCAGCCTGCTCTCCTTAGAAAAGGTAATTTTACTAAAATCGTCATCACTCTGCTCATGTTATTTAACTGAATTTCTCTTTAGAATTTGAATAACGTGTCTGATTTTCTTGCATTTTTATATAATTTAGAGTGTTTACTACATCCCTGTGTGCTTTGTTCCTTGCTAATTCCACTCTTTTTCACCCTATTTTGAGTTTGAAAACAGGACCTGTCATTTCCCTCAAAAATGAAATATCTGACTTTGTTGCACTTTTTACATATTTTGCCTTTCTTGTATGCTTTTTGTAAATATACTCCTCAAAAAAGGTTTCATGAGATTCATCAATTTTGGCGATTTGTGTTTGGTATTCTGTCTCTGTAACAAATGGCAGGTAGTGACATTTTGCATTTATTGGCTTTTTATATTTTGTTTTTTTTCGCAAATGATCCAGGTAAGCCAAGTTAGCTTTAGTTTAATACTGTATTGATTTTTATGAGATTATAACGCAGGTTGTCTTTGAGGGTATGAGCAAACATCATTATAACAAACTGTTGATTTTTCATTTGTGAATTTATGTACATGCAAATACTAAGTGCTTATTTGATGTTTTCTTATGAAAAGTTTATAAATGGTTTGGAGGGTCGGGTTTTAAATGAAAATAGAGGGAAAGAGAGAGGTATAAGCAAGGAATAAATTATACAGACATGAAGTGAACACTCTATATTGTATAGAAATGCAAGAAAATTAGACACTTTATCCAAATTTTAGAGAAAAATTGAGGGGAATAAGCATTAGCAGATGGACATTTTAATCAGGTCTTATCTGTAACTGGATTTTCATCTTTGTGCATTTTATGCAGAGTACATTATCAGGGTGGGTTATTACATGCATAAATTCAAATATACTATCACTCATTTATAAAAAGGTATTGTCCAGTTCTTTATGAAACCATAATGCACTGTGAAATAATGTTTCTGCTCAGTTGAATAATGAATAACCTCTTTTAATCAGATACTTTGTTGTTAAGGAACACAAAGGGAAGATGAAGCGCTAATATTTGTGAAGGAAGCATTTATTTTTTCCAATACTTTTGCTTAACCCATTTTCTTGTTGAAAGGAAGTTTTAGTTTCTTTTAAAGGAGTATTGTCTGTGCATTTGAGTTCCTTTTATGCATGATCAATACACTTTTCTTCTCAGTTATTTCTCTCTACAATTTGAATGAAGTGATAAGAACCTTAAGTATAATGTCCGTCAGCTTATGCTTTTTCACTCAATTTCTCTCTAAAATTTGAATAAAGTGTCTGATTTTCATGCATTTCTATATAATTTTTTGTGTCACCAACATGCCTCTTCACTTTATTCCTTGCTAATTCCTCTCACTTCTCTCTAAAATTTGAATGAATCGTCTGATTTTCTTGCATTTCCATACAATTTAGAATGTTAAACACATGCCTGTTTACTTTATTCCTCGCTAATTCCTCTCTTTGAATGTGATTTAATTTTTTAAAAAAGACATACAATCAAATTACAATTAAAATACGAACATTAATATAGAATTTTTTAATGTCTGAAACAACCTTTTTCAGATGATATCATTGATAAGTTCAGTTGATTAAGGTGAAAAAATCTTCATAAATGTTGATTGTATTATTTTGAGATAATCTTTATTGATTTGATTGTGGTTGATTTACTGAGCTTATTCTTGTTATATATGCTGTGCCTCAACACTCATGAAACATTCATGACATGCTTCACTCCTTGTCATTTTAGAAAACTCAACTGTTACGGTCTTCCGTCTTTTCCTTCTCTTTGTTCTGATTGGATACCTCCTTTTGCAAGTCCTAGTGAGCGTCATGATATCTATACATATAGTGCCACCTATTAGCGATAAAAATATAATAAGCCCAAGCCCTCCTAATGCTAAAGTTATTGGGTCTTTATAAAATGTCATTTCTTCAGGTTCTCGTTTGTATATTGATAAAGGAGGTAGGGACATATTTTGAGATGGAGAGGTTTCTGGGATTTGGTGTCCTCCTTTGGTAGTGTCTTGTATTAAAGTCATTCTTGTGGTTTCTGGTTTTGTTGATTTAATTGCTGTTATTATTGTCATAGTTGTATGACTTGTAATCTCTGGTTTATTTGTTGTAATTTCTTTATTGTTTGTTGTAATTGTTGGAGTGAGGTACTCATTAGTGGTGTTGTTTTGTGTTGAGATATTTTCTGTAGTTGTGCTTATCATTCCACTAGTTGTGTCATGAGCAGTTGTGTCATGAGCAGTTGTTGTGTCATAGACAGTTGTGTCATTAATGGACTTTGTCATAACAGTTGTGGCATCTGGTCCACAGGGTCCTGTAATAAATAAACAGCAATTATAAGTTATGAATGTTTCAGTTGTACAGTAAAACCTGTCTATGTGGAACATCTTTGGTACCTTTAAAGTGTTCCACTTTGGAGGTGTTCCACTTATAGAGGTTCATTTAATATTATGTCAGTTGGTCCTGGGACTCTGAAGTGTTCCACTAACAGAGGTGTTCCACTTAGAGAGGTTCATTTAATATTAAGTGTTCCACTTGGGAGGTGTTCCGTTTATCCACTTATCCACTTAGAGGGGTTCATTTAACATTAAGTCAGTTGAACTCTGAAAAGTGTTCGACTTACAGAGGTGTTCCACTTTGAGGGGTGTTCCACTTTACAGGTTTCACTGTACCATATTTTGTGAGGATAGAAAAAGCATGAGTAAATGCACCTGTTTACTCAGGTATTTAAGGTATATCGATCAAAAATTAATTTATATCCATTTGTTAATTATCTATTTTCTGAAATTAAAGGATGTATTGGGTACCTATTAATTATCAATCAAAGCCATATTAAATAGATTGGCATCCATTTTTAATCTGTTATTTTATGAAAAATACTCATTACCCGATGAATTGTAAAATCCCTTGCATATAAAGGCCTGTCTGCGATTACATTGTACATCATGCCATTTATATTGGACAGTCTTGTTGATTATTTTGCGTATAACAACGGTGCAGTCCTCGCCTAGTAAAAGTCCATCTGGTTCAGATAGTACAGTAGTGCCTACTATTTTACTTCCCCAGTTGGTATATGTTACCGCTGACCCATCTACCCAGAATGAGAAATTTTTGTAGACTGTGTGCCTTTCTAGACCTACAATAATCAGATGTGTGTCACTTTAAACAATATTCAATACAATATTCAATACAATACTACAATAATCAATTGTATGTCATATCAAAACTAACATTTTTCACTTGAAAATCGCAATATATTATATTTTTAGACCTACAATAATTAATTGTATTACTGTATTTTTTGCACACATCTTTGAAAAAACAAGACAAAATAGGTACGCATATCACAATTACATATACCATAATGTTCACATTTCAGATTCAGATATTTATTACTATTTTGAAAAACATACCTGACATTCAATACAACATGACGCTCTCAAGAGCATATATGTTGGTTTTAAAGGAATATTCCTTGCCAGACCCTTTCTCTCTTGATATGGTAGCTATAATCATATATATAGTTTCCATATTTAGCAAAACATGGGAAAATGTTTTAATATGGTCAATATTGATCATTTAAAAATCTAGTGCTTATTTCCAGTGAGCTGCCATCTTTTAAGATTTCTTGCAGGAAGTGATGTCATCAACTCTCAACTTCTATAACCTTGCCCATAACAGTTTAGGAAAGTAGCACAAAATCACTTCTAGACAAGTGATCATTACTTTCTGTGCAAAAATATATTCAGGGCTTGTCAACTTAGATAAAAGAAGAGATTTTCAGAAGGCTTAAATAAGATACAAAGTTGAAAAAGAATATTTAGCTGGTTTTGTTATTCTTAATAGCTCCTCACCTAATGCTATATGCAAAGTTGAGAGTCGATGACATCACTTCCTGTGTGAAATTTAAAAGATGGCAGCTTACTGGAATTGAGCATCACATTTCTAAGTGATCAAATTTGACCATATCAAAACATTTTTGCATGTTTTGCTTAACATGGCAAGCATATATATGGTTATTGCTACCATATGAGGAGAGAGATGGTTTGGCAAGGAATATTCCTTTAACTGGACAGAAATGGGTCAGTGCCGCCCACATTCTATGCACTTTCGTACTGCACTAAACTTACACTAAGTAGATACTTCATTGATTTGTGCTCTGAATTGTTAATGGATTATTATCTATGGTGTATAAGATAATTCAGCTAACGGATACCCTCACTTCTTTTCAATTAATAGCCAGTTTTTTCATTTGTGTGTTGTGGAGAAATTCCTCCGATGACAATCAATGCACAGCACAGCGATTCAAATTGTCATATTTTATTTGTGAATTTTTACGGCAATTTGCTTAAAAGATAATAAGTCATAATAGTAGGCTTCGTTAATTTTGCAATTTTGAAAACAAATCATTCTTAATGTTATTTTAGTGAAAATAAATCTGATCAATAAATTATTATAGAAGCTTGTGATTTCGTGGAATACAAACATCAAGTAATCAGTAATTATCGGTATCGATAAGTAAAAGCAAATGTCATTTTCACTATATTGTTATAGTCTCTAAAAATTTTGTTGCGGCAGTTAGCGGTTGGTGTTTCTCAGTTGGTATTTGGCATCTGTACCAAATGGCAGGTGGTGACATTTTGCATATTAATTCCTCGCTTTTCACTAGTTACAAACTGCATGATGAAATAAATTCAAATTACCTCCTTTTTATCAACAGATTTTATTTTATTATCAACAGATCTTATTTTCTGTAATTAATATTAGTATATAAACAGGTCGTACAATAGGAACCCAAACCTCAGTGGCATTATATGGGTCCCTATAATAAAACACCATGAGTGGAAGTTCGATGGACAAAAGGTAAATATTTATTCCAAATTGAAGGCTGTGTTTGAATTGACTTCCACAATTTAACCATAGCAACAACAGCAAAACTACGCACTTGAATAATTATGTTGAGATTCTTTTCAGTTTAACTGTTTTATCCAAAAAATGAATTATGTCATCCTTTTTCGAAATAATGCAACTTATTATTTTTATATGGTAAACATTGACTTACCAATAAACCAGTAACTCAACCCAGAATCTAAATATATTATTTCCATTTGTTGTTTTAACGCGTCCTTCTCCGTGACATCATGTATGCTTGTCAGTGTTGCATTATGGGTTGCGCAATGCAGTTTTGCATCTGAGATGAGCTGAATTTCAGGAAGATAAAATTCGTAGCAATAATCCTGATATTTGAGAAACACGGAATCGGAATTCTGGCCTCTTGTGGCTGAAAAAAAGTGAATCCATTTTTAAATGTACGTCTGCTGCTCATGCTTATTTCACTCCATTTCTCTGTAAAATTTGAATGAAGTGTCTGATTTTCTTGCATTTCTATACAATTTAAAGTGATTGTGTCTGAAATATCTACATGGCTACAATATTTCATTTGATATTTTCATCAAGATAGTAGATTTTCATTCTTTATTAGTTGCTCGTTCGTTAGTATTTGTTTATTTGGCAGAAAACCACCCATAGTTTTACAAACAAGTATTGTATAGAATTTTTTATTACACATGTTTGGTTTGTAAGAATTATGAGTGATATTGAGTCAGTTGAAAAAGCAGAAAAATAACTTGCCCTCTTAAGGATGAATGACATGATTATTGTTAAAACTGTAAAATCATGTTGCCTAATTACCCAGTCTGTAAAATAAAATTGTAATTTCTTACATTGAAGTAGGACTAATACTATCCAAATAATGATCATCTTAATCCATATATTCCTGACTCTTAATCCATATAGTCCAGACTCTTAATCCATTTATTACTGACTCTTAATCCATATAGTCCCGACTCTTAATCCATTTATTACTGACTCTTAATCCATATAGTCCCGACTCTTAATCCATTTATTACTGACTCTTAATCCATATAGTCCCGACTCTTAATCCATTTATTACTGACTCTTAATCCATATAGTCCTGACTCTTAATCCATTTATTACTGACTCTTAATCCATATAGTCCTGACTCTTAATCCATATATTACTGACTCTTAATCCATATATTACTGACTTTTAAACCATATATTTTTGACACTTAATTCATATATTACTGACATATTATTTCTACTTGTTTGCATATAATTTAATCAGAGTGTTCCCAACTTCAAATCCATGTATTCCTGACTCTAATCCATTTAAAATTCCTACATCTTTATTCAGTTTTAAAGTATTTGCTACATGCCAAATTATTGATTTATTACTTGCTGATTCCACTAATTTTTGAATTTCTGAGTTTTGAAAATTTTCATAAAATTTTCATGTATAAATGCCTGCTTCATATTTTCTCAAACTTCATACTGATTTAATCTGTTAGGTTGTGCTCTATTACCGGACTCTATGTTCATGAGAAAAAAAACTTTCCCGATTGTTTTCAATGCCTGGTGGCAGTTTTTCACAAGATAATATTTGCTTTAATTAGTTATTACGTTGTCACTTTAGGCTAGTTTCCGTCTTCTGTTGTCTTTGTATCATATCAAAAATCAAGAGTCTTCTCTGAGAGAATTACATCAAAAACTACATCCTTTAATCTCTAAGAGTGTCTGGTGTTTTTTATAATGAAAATCGCTGAAGTAAACGAGATATGTACAGTGAAGCGCAATGGCACAAGATATTTTGCGCTGATTGCATCTACAGTGGCTTGCTGTTTTTTGTCCCTATTTTATATTGAAAGTAATTGAATAATAGTAGCACCCTGTCTTGAACAATATTTGTACAGTGCAGCGTGTTAGAGCATTGTAATTATGACCAGTCAATCAATGCCTATCTTATGATTGAATTGTAAAGTCCGTCTGCTAATGATTTTTTCGCTTATTCTCTCTAAAATTTGAATGAAGTGTCTCATTTTCTTGTGTCTCTATACAATTTTAAGTGTTGACTACATGGATTTTTATTTTATTCCTTTTTATTATGTCCCCACCACATAGTGTGGGGCCATATTGTCGGCCTAGGCGCGTCCATCTGTCCGTCCGTCCGTCCGTCCGTCCGTCTGTCCGTACGTCCGGGAGTTTTCTCCAAAACCGCTACAGATATCACCTTCAAATTTTCAGGGATAACTTATGAGTGCATACAGATGTGGATGAAAAGATTTTAACTCGATACCTACTTCCTGTCGGCCATTTTGAAGTCAAATGCTAAAATCCTTGTCTGCAAACTTTAAGAAAAACGGCTTCACAGTTGCTTTTAAAACTTTAACATCTTGTTCAGCTCACTTCATTCTAGATCTGATTAGGTTTTGGACCTGTTAGCTCAGTCATGTCAGCCATTTTGAATGTCTTAAGAAAAGTTAGCGCACGATAATACTTTGTATCATATTGAATGGTGTTTTTGAGTTTTCATACTTTAACTATTTAGTAGCTTTATAAATAATTTCAGGTCTACTTTGTTGTAAAAGCCTATGTTATTGTTAACAGTAGTAATATGTGATAATTCTGTAAGAAGAAATCAGCAAAAACACATAATCACTTTTTTATTGTCGGCCATTTTGGATTTTTCCGTCCTAAAATCTTGTCTGTGAAGTCTTGTCTACGTGTTTTCAGGTGAACCGTTTGGTGGATCAATTTCAAATTTTCAGGGACGATTCTTAGTATAAAAATCTAGATCTGATTTGTTTTTTGGCATTATGGGTAAATGTCAAGGCAGCCATTTTGGATTTTCCGTCCTAAAATCTTGTTTGTAAAGTCTTGTCTACGCGTTTTCAGGTGAACTGTTTGGTAGATCAATTTCAAATTTTCAGAGATGATTCTTAGTATGAAAATGTAGAAGTGATTAGTTTTTTGGCATTCTGGGGAAATGTCAAGGCAGCCATTTTGGATTTTCTGTCCTAAAATCTTGTCTGTAAAGTCTTGTCTATGCATTTCCAGGTGAACCGTTCTGTAGATCAATTTCAAATTTTTAGGGATGATTCTTAGTATGAAAATCTAGATCTGATTAGTTTTTTGGCATTCTGGATAAATGTCAAGGCAGCCATTTTGGATTTTCCGTCTTAAAATCTTGCCTGTAAAGTCTTGTCTACGCGTTTTTAGGTGAACCATTTGGTAGATCAATGTCATATTTTCAGGGATGATTCTTAGTATGAAAATCTAGGAACAGATTAGTTTTTTGACATTCTGGGTAAATGTCAAGGCAGCCATTTTGGATTTTCCATCCCAAAAATCTTGTCTGTAAAGTCTTGTTTACATGTTTTCTAGTTAACTGTGTGACGGATCAATTAAAATTGTGTTGGTAAAGTCTTGTCTACTCATTTTCAGGATAACCATTTGATGGGTTCACCCATTGGTGGGGACATTTTGTACACATTTGTGTTCTTGTTTTGTCTTCTTTGGATGATATCGTTCATTCCAAAATGTTTACAGCAATTATGGAGGATTCTACGTCTTTCCTTCTTCTGATGCTTTTCCATTCATTTTCTCTTTATAAATTGAATGTTTTGGCATTTCTATACACGTACAGTGTGTTATAAGTAAGGAGTGAAATTCTCAATTATGCAATTTATGTTACATATCTGTTTAGTAACTTTCTTTGCAAATTTACTCTTCCACTCTTTTTTTCATTCAATCTCATGGAGTTTTCAAGAAAAACTTTCTTCTTTGCTAATTTTATTTTTCCACTCTAATTCATTCAATCGCATGGAGTTACAGTGTGTTACATATCTGTTTACTTTCTTCTTTGCAAATTTTACTCTTTTCCACTCCTATTTAATTCAATCTGATGTAGTTTTTCAAAATCTAGGAACAGTCTAGGATTAATTGAGAATAAGATTATTTTAGTTTTAATGTTCTAATCATGTCAAAATTTAGCAACAACGTTGAACTTATGAAATTGAATATTTCTAAAAAACAATCACACAACAAACTGCACCATAAACATGGATATTAATATCTTGATTTTATTTTTATAGGCTGAGCTAGAAAGAAGTCTTGATTCAGTTACCAAATCTAAGATACATTACAAGCAACAATGGGGACGGGCCTTGAAGGAGATCGCTCGTCTCAAGCAAAAAGAACAAACAACAGCCAGGGACCAGTTACGTAAACAACAACAAGAGTTAGAACACATGCGTCTCCGTTACCTAGCAACAGAGGAACAGGAAGTGGTTAAATCAGAGCGAAAACATCTAGAGGAAATAAAGGAAGAGATGAATAAGTTAGTCGATTTTTTCACTTCAGAATATGGCAGTTATTATGTCTTGACATATTGTTATAGTCTCCAACTTTTTTGTGGATGATGTTCCGCATTTGGTGTTTGCCGGGCAGTGGTTGCCATTCGGTGGTCAATGTTTGGTGTCCAGTGTCTTTAACAAATTGCAGTTGGTGACATTTTGCATGTTGATGCCTTATTTAAAATGTTGTCATTTGATGTCATTTTGATATGGAAAATATCACAGAAGAGTAGAATTAGTAACTAGGCATATAGTTAACTCTCTAAATTGTTTGGAAACCAAAAATTCATTCAATTTTAAAACAGAAAATAGAGTGGAAAAGATGAGAAATCAACAAATAATAAAGAAGTATTTAACTAACACTCTAAATTGTATAGAAATGCGACAAAATCAGACACTTATTCAAAATATGCAAAGAAAATCAACAAGTTATTCAATTTTTCACTTGCGAATGTAGTACAGTAATTACAATCCTAATTTTTCGCAATATTCTTTAAATATTATAACAAATATACTGTAGATTGGGTTAATTTGGCGCTACTTAATTTGGCGATTTTGCCATTTTTGGTATATTCGCGGCTATTTAATTTGGCGGATATGCAAAAAAAAGTTAAACTTACGCGCTGTTTGCGAATTACCATGTAAATGGGCATGTTTGGCTATGTCCATTTTTTCTTTTGAGGACCACTGCCGATATTCACCACGTTTGTGAGATCATCCTTTACATTTTGCACCTCGATCGATGCTGCTACTATACCACGCTTTTCCTTTCTAGTTTTTCCCTGAGTATTAATGAGTGACTGACCAGTTCTGAGCCAATTTATGAGAGACATTTTTTCATATTTTGGAAAAACTAAACCAGAAGTGACCTAAATACACTGGACGAAATACCCTGGATGAAATACCCTGGATAATTCCCAGGGATTTGATCTAAATTTTGGCGAAGATTTATATTGGCGAATTTTTCAATTTCGCCAAATTAAAGCGGGCGCCAAATTAACCCAATCTACAGTATTCAGTATTTTACAAGCACAGTGGTAAATCAATCACTTACTTAAATGCTGAATTTTTTGTCTTTTCATCACATATTCTAGCTTTGATTATTAAATCAATTGGGCAAGATTTAATGTTACTAAAGAGCTTTTGGATTTTCAATTACATATAAGATCAATGCTTTTAGTCCCTGATTGTAACTATTGTCATGAATGATGTTTTATGGAGTTTATAAAAATGAGTTTGGTGCAATCCAATAATAGGCATCCAATTAACTTATAGATTTGTATTTGAATGTATCTTTACAGGAGAAGTGCTTTGCCATGCTAGGCTTTTGTTTTATTAAAAGAAAATAGTTTAAAGCATTTATCTTATACTTTTCCCTATTCATTGTTGTACAAGAGGATGTAAAAGTTGATTGGTTATCGTTAGCTAATGTTTATTATCGCCCACTTGTTTATAAATATTAGAGATTTTGCTCATAAGTGAAAGCAATTGGGAAGCGACATACTGTATATGCATAAAACGCCAAGGCGTACTCTCAAGATTTAGAGAAGAGTTGATTTTTTATATTGAATTGACCCACACTATAGAATGGATAAAAATGACCAATAATTTACATGCAATTAGTCCATATTATTTAGAATTTCATGTTTAAAATGCCCAAGAATGCCTCAAATGCAATATCATTTTCGTTCGTTCGCTCGTATGCTCAGGGCATACACTCACAAAATACCCACGTTACGCCACTATGAAAGTATGACTAAATATTTATGCATATAGCCATGCTCTACATTGTACAAGTGGTTTTCTATACTTATGGAACCTATTTATGAATCTTATAAAAATAACTTATCCTGTCCTTATGTCTTGTGGGCATATGGACCGCTACTCAAGGAGGCATTTTCAATATGGCCACTCATTTCAAAATTATCAACTGGGTCCACAGTGGGTCCACTTTTCCACCTCATTTTAAAAATACAAAAAGTCAAAAAATATTATTTACAATCTCACATTGTCATATACATATTTTTAATCAAATGCATTATTTCAAATAAGAATTACATGTACATTCAGAGTTATTGATCAAACACAATTGTTTTCAGTCAAATATATATGTTTATAATTTTCAGGTTAAAAAGCATGAGTGAACAACAACAACAACAATTAAAACAACAACAACAACAACAAGATCCCCAAAAACTCAGTGACAAAGCGTCTATATCGACATCTATGCAGCCGATGGATCAAAACAACCAATCGGTGGATGATCATATCACGCGATTGATCGAGGAAAGAGACACATTGTTACGTACTGGTGTTTATTCAACTGAAGATCGTATAATTGCAGAACTTGACAGACAAATAAGGGAAACTATAGCCAGGAAGGATCGGTGACAAAGTCTCCAAGTGTGAAATAGTCATGTACCACTGGAAAGACCAGTTACAATATATCAAGGTGTAAAATAGTATATATACCACTGGAAAAATTTGTGACAAAATTTTGGAAGTGTGACATAATTGATGTAATGCTATAAGGATTGGCAACAAAAACTTTGAATTGTCAAATATTTGATGTATCACTGGAAAGATTGTTGACAGTCTTGAAATATCAATTAGTTGGTTGATATACCATTTGAAATCAATGAAATGTTAAATTCATACATGTAATTTTCTAGAATTATGAATTTCTTACTTAAGTATTTAATTGTGAAATTGATATACCACACAACATCACAGCAAAACTAAGAAACACTTAAACTAGACTGCACAACAAGTGCTGCCGGAAACAAATAAGTGCGGGAAGAACAATACAACAAGAACAAAAACACCGCATATGCAAACAGCATGCTTACATGGGATGACAGGCCTTTTGTAAAACTTGATTCATAAGTTGTGATGTAGCACATATGTATTGTTTGATTTACTCTCCCCTCCCATAAGTATGGAAACCAGAAGTTTTCATTGCATAGCATTTCAAGGTCTGTCAATGTTTGAATCTCACTTTTTAGCTCACATGGTTAGCTTTTGCAATCACTCACTTCTCCGTCTGTCCGTCAGTCCGTCCGTCTGTCTGTCCGTCAACAATAGTGGCACGTTTTAAAACCTCTGTCGATAGGATTCCTGTTTTAAGTTATTTCTGTTCAACATCAATACAGAAAACTCCCCTATGACTCCTGGTTCAAAAGCTCGCCTATTTTCAAAATGGCCTTCACTTTTGTCTCGCGAAATTCACTTTTGATCCATTTCCTAGCTTTACAAATAATTTCAGGTGTCCTACATTGTAAAAATCCATGTCAATGTTAAGGGTAGATATATGAAATAATTTTGTTACAAAAAATCAGCGAAAAATTATATCCATTTTTTTATTTTCAGCCATTTTAGTTAACATTGATTTGTCTATCTGACTCGCGAAATCCACTTTCCGTCAATAACAGTGGCACGTTTTAAAACCTCTGTCGATAGGATTCCTGTTTTAAGTTATTTCTGTTCAACATCAATACAGAAAACTCCCCTATGACTCCTGGTTCAAAAGTTCGCCTATTTTCAAAATGGTCGCCATTTTTGTCTTGCGAAATTCACTTTTGACCCATTTCCTAGCTTTACAAATATTTTCAAGTGTCCTACATTGTAAAAATCCATGTCAATGTAAAGAGTAGATGTATGAAATAAGTTTGTTACGAAAAATCAGCGGAAAATTAAATCCATTTTTTTATTTTCAGCCATTTTAGTTAACATTGATTTGTCCATCTGTCTCGCAAAATCCACTTTTGGACCATTTACCTTAAAACCTCTGTCGATAGGATTCCCGTTTTAAGTTAATTTTGTTCAACATCAATACAAAAAACTCTCCTATGACTCCTGGTTCAAAAGCTCGCCTATTTTCAAAATGGTCGCCATTCTTGTTTCGCAAAATTCACTTTTTGCCCATTTCCTAGCTTTGCAAATAATTTCAGCTGTCCTGCATTGTAAGAAGTCATGTCACTGTAAAGAGTAGTTGTATGAAATAATTTTGTTACAAAAAATCGGCAAAATATTATATCCATTTTTTATTTTCAGCCATTTTAGTTAACATTGATTTGTCCATCTGTCTAGCGAAATCCTCTTTTGGACCATTTGCTTAAAACCTCTGTCGATAGGATTCCAGTTTCAAGTTATTTTTGTTCAACATCAATACAAAAACTCCCCTATGACTCCTGGTTCAAAAGCTTGCCTGATTTCAAAATGGTCGCCATTTTTGTCTCGCGAAATTCAATTTTGGCCCATTTCCTAGCTTTACTATGCATCTTGCTAATGGGAGCTAGGACTCGTATAGATGGCAGTTAACTTAACTACTAGGTTGTTCTTCACATCTGATCCATTGGTTTGTGTGTAAATATTGCTGTTTTGAAACTTCAAATTCTCTACATATATAAAATAAATATCATATTTTCCTTCATTATTATTTACAAACATGTTTTAAGATTCAAAATTAGAAGTTTTGGATATTTTCAATAAAATTTACTTTGGGAGATTTTTGGAACAATTTTTACATGTTAAAGTACGCTATTAAACCCACTGAATTTTTCGCCATCTATCGACAGTCCTGAAGGGCATTGTTTCATATAAGCATCAAAAATGAATAGATGGCGCCACTTCACTTCATATTTTTACTCCACCCAAGATTACGCTTGTATTACCGAATGCAACTTTCGGCTGTCGGCTGAATTAACCTATTTTATAACCAACGAACTCATTTAATTATTAATGGAATAGTGGCAGGTACTATTGATATTTAAATGAGTTTACCATAAAACAGAATGTTTATCTGGTAGCCAACAGCCGAAAGTTGCATCCCTGAATACAAGCCTAGTTACCCTAAAGAGCACACTCGTTATTTCAAGTCACAAATGCCATCAGTTGGCAATTAATGCCGCGTCATCAATATGAACTACAAAGGTATATTTCACAATTATAAATAATCAACCAGGAGTGAACACTGTTTCCAACAACATATTTATCCAGATCATTGACATTGTACTTTTGCTCTCCATGAACTTTTATAATCTCTGTTCATCATTACAAACGTCATCCAATGTTTAACTAAGAAGGTATATTTAGAATTATTAGAATAATATACACCTGGATGTAATCATCACACATGCGTCAGAAACAATATAGCTGTGAAGTCAGACCTGTTCAAGGATTTTTTACTAAAATCACCAGTTTTTAAAGTATATTTTCTCATCAACAGTTAACCCAAATTTATTGAAACTCTACATATGTAAAGGACATATCATCAGCTTTCCAAAAAATTAATTTGATTGCCATAGCAACAGTGGTTGCTATGGTAACCATGGGAACAATATAGTCAAAAATCTCATTTTTACCCCCCCCAAAGATCAATTTGGTGAAAAATATTTTTTTCAAATAAATGTTAAAAGTGATAAAAACCATATTTATAAGTAATTTGATGGAAAATAAGGTATTTTAGGGTATTTAATAGCACATTTGACCTAATATGTTTGAAGTATATTTAGAAATGTTAGAATAACCCATACTCGTTTCCAAGAAGAGAATAACCACCCTGGATGTAATCTCAAATGCTTCAGAAACAATATACTAGTAACTGTAACGATATATTTAAAAAAGTAATTATAACCACCCCGGTGTAAAAGGGTAGGTGGTCCTATCAAATTATGGTCCTACTTTCCATTGATTTATATGGTGACCTAAATACAACTCTTTCCCTTATTATCGTATCCATAATCAGGGCCAGTAAGGGCCTTTAAGAAAGGGGACCATAATCCCCCAGGGACCATAATTTCTTTTACACCGGGACCAGGATGGATACACGCTGTATCCATCCCGGTGTAAAAGGGTAGGTGGTCCTATCAAATTGTGGTCCTACTCTCTATTGATTTATATGGTGACCTAATCACAGTTATTTTCCTTATTATTAATACACAGTCAGGGCCAGTAAGGGCCGTAATGAAAGGGGACCATAATCCCCAGGGGACCATAATTTCTTTTACACCGGTCCCGCTCCTGAAAAAAATTCACTTTTTTTTTAATTTATTTTTTTTCAAATTTTTTTCAATTTTTTTTTCAAAATGTTTTTCAAATTTTTTTGGTTTTTCGTCAACAATTTTTATTGATTTGATTGTGAGGTTCCATGAACGGAACACTTCAAAGTTCCTTTTCCAATTAATTTAATGTAAAATTGACATTTGTAAAGTGGAACTATATACGTCATGATAAGGATTGCTGTTCTCACATTGTATTTCTCTTCTCAGCCCAAAGGTTGAACAAAATGAGACCCCAATATCTGACACTGATGCCACAATATCCCACCAGTGGTGTCATAAAAATCAATCCGTTTTACATAATCCGGTATTACTACGCTATCGTCAGCTTGGGGAGTGAAGTGGTTTTGCTCCGACATAAAAAAAATTACAATCATAAACATGCTTCGTCACCATAACCATAAACTCACAACGTGCCAAGAACAGAACACATCAAGCAAGGAACCGACTAAAGGTAAAGAAATATAATACTTAATTCATTATAAATATGTCTCTTTTTCGATATGTCTCTTCATCAGATGTAGTTAGGTCTTTACCTTCAAAAATTTGGCTTTAAAAAATAATTTTACTTTATATGACATTTCTTATCATGAGTTGTTGGCTATAACTTTTTATTGTCTTTATATATAAAATCATATTTTTCAATAGACTAGATGCGGGTAGAAAAAAGATTGATTCACATCATTAAAGGAGTGGTATCGATATCGTGAACTTTTTGAACACGCGTATCTCTTATACCAGTCATCAAAACATTCTGAAAATTTTACACATCAATTCAATGGTCATCTTTTGGATGGTAGCATTATAATTTGAAATATATATATACTTTTCTCTATACTGAATTAGAAAACACATCGGGCACTTCTTTTGTTCTTGGTATCATATGTTCGGAATGAAATGAATCTACCCGAACCTCATTGGAAAAAAACGACATAAACACAACGTGTTTAGGTCTCTCAATATTGCAATTGTATAAAGGATAGTTTGGTTGATTTTAAAAACGTATCTTATTAATGAAATAAAAGGGTTATCTTAATTTTTATCCATTTGCATACTTTTTGTTAAATCAACCAAAAGGACGATTCTCGGTTTGGAGAACGAAGTTCATCAATCTAAATGAGCATTATCCCTGCTTCGGACAAATTTGATTTTTTTACATAACATAGATTTGAATGTCCTCTTTTGAATAGTCATAATTTAATTTGGGTAATATTTCTAGATTTTTCGCAAAAAAAATATTAGCGCAGTACACTGATGAACTTCTTTCCCCAAATCGAGACTTGTATTTTATTGAATCGGTCTAATTGAGCGTTATCCCTGCTTCAGACCAATTTGTTATTTTTACATCTTGAAGATTTAAATGTCCTGTTTTGAATATTCATTGTTTAATTTGGGTAATATTTCTATATTTTTCATGAAAAAAATTATTAGCCCAGGAGACTGTTCTCCAAACCGAGAATCGTCCTTTGCTTTGTAAAACTATAATATTGAGAGGTCTAAGAAAATGTTGTATATGCTATTTTGTTCCAACAAGGTTCGGAAAGACATTTTATTTCATTCTCAAGAATTAGTAGAAAGGAACAAAAACAATTGCACTAAAAAATGTTGCAAAAAACAGTTATAGAAAATATATATAAATAATTTTTGCATTAAATTGTTGCCAATCAGTCAACATTACATAAAGGACCGTGTTTTTACAAAGCATATCAAGAATATCACGTCATTTGCTCATTAACATAAATTCTGACATATGACGTCACAGATTATTGTCAATGGGAAATTACTATAGGAATTCTTAAAAAGTGAATAAAGTATGTGATAATTTACGAATTAGAATTTACTCGAAATGGCATATTATACATGACACTATTACGAGTAACATGGTGAAAAAATTGAATTCCCAACGTTAAAAAATAAGCTTCCCCCAGAAAAAACGTGTTTTGAAATCACTTTGTATGGAGAGCAGTAGCGTGACGTCATAGTTTATGTGAAAACATGGTGAAAATGGCCAAATTCAACGTCTTTAACTGGCTGTAAAAAAGAAATTTGTTAAAATCAGAATTTACTCGAAACGGTTATAGGAAGATCTAGATTAATCTTACATAGTATAAAAAGATCAATACTTCGGGTTTAAAAAATAAGCTTCCCCCAGAAAATCAAAATGGGTCGTTTATCAAATGGCCAATTATGATTCTGTTGATTACATAGCAGCCTTAAATATTGAAAATTGCTTAATTACGACGCCCCGTTTTATTTAGCGATCTGCCATTTAAAGGAGCTCATTTTACCTTTCTAGTCAATAGTTTCTTATCTTCATTACAGCTAAGGTGTCATGTTAGTGTACTTATTTTCTACTTATTTCCCCGAAAGTTCCCGGGGAAATGAACAAGTATATCATTGACGTGATTTGATAATCTAGCTGTGACGTCATTAAATTATTCACATAAACAATCAAAAAAGCACGTGGTAAAATGACGCGATATTCTTGATATGGTATTTTCAGTAATTGGTTTAAGAGAAAAACATTGTTGAATTCGGTTCACCATATCGATACATATCCTTTCAAAATTCAGTCAAGGTGATATCATATTATCATATTTGAAAACTACATGTACAATTACTAGAAATGTGGTTTTAAAAATTGTTTATCAACTTAATTTTCTTTAAAAATGTGACCTTCTAGGTCAGGGAGATTCTCCATAGACCCCATGTTATAAAATCCCAAAAAATGAATTATCTTTTCTTTCATTGGACAGACAATATTTTGTTTTACTGGACATATTTTCATTTTAAGTATAACTATCAGATACATAAGGTAATATGAAAATTGATCCACAAGGTTACTATTATACTGTATTCAATGACTTGTTGGGGTTTGTTTTTTATTATATCAGATTGCATTTTCGATGATCAGTTTCAGGCCGTGTTCTATTTCAGCATCAGGAAAATGAAGCTGTTGGCGGTGATACTACTGATGATCCTAATCGACGTATGTTTTGTAAGTTCCCATAAATCATGGAGTAGAAAAAGAAAATGGAGTGGGAGCAGTCATAGGCACCGGCATTATGAAGGTGATTTTCTGCAATAACAGTATATCATTACGGGGCTCCCTGGTGTATTCATTATAATCAAGAAATCCCATTCACGGACAACTTGATCGCATACAAATCTGAAACGAAATTATTGAGGAGATTTCCGTTTCAACCAACAAAGAATGAGGGAGTTCTTTATCGAATATCAAACATTCTCATGATATTATTAGCAAATTATTAGTTTAAACTGATGTAGATGTAATTGCTTAAGTATTTTTAAGTTTGAACCGATTCTATTTAAATAATAACAATACTTGTTTATTATTAACCCTCCTGGGGGAGGGGGGGGGGTACAAAAGGCCCTCAAAGTTAAGCCTTTCTTTTTCCAAATTTTTTAAGGCATCAGGTAGTTAACCCTTTTAAAGGAAAAAAGTAATTCCTTTTAGATAAAGTGGAAAACAATATTTCCCATGTTATTTTCCCATAGGGAAAACTCATGCGATCCATTGTTTTCAGCTTAATTTTTCCAACATATGACTGTCCGAAATCTGTTGCGATACTTTGTTGATTTGTTGATCAATAGTGACGATCATTCAGATTGTACTATATGGAATACCGCGTCTAATTGTTATGTATCTTACAGCAACAATTGACACAATTGCTTATTTATCTTTAATAATTTGGAGAACAATTTGGATTTTAGAGCATCCATGTCGCGAGAATTGCCAGTATACGGCTCCATCGCCCGTGGCAGATCAACCTGGACTAGGGCGGTTCAGTCGAGTGAATGCAATGTTAGATTGCACATATGAAGACAACTGTGACATTGAATTTCTCAAAGACTTTGCAGCTGAACTTGATCGACAAAGCAATTGCAAAATGTATTATCCGCTGAAGGTAACTTACATCTCCCCAGTTCCCTTGCTGTTGTTTGCCTGTCCTACCGTCCGTCTATCCGTCAGACTGTGATAAACTTTGGGCATTTTTTAGATCTATTTTTGTTTGTTTCTTTGCTTCGGTCATTTGATGCATCGGCAATATAGAATAGCTCCTCTGTCGTGAGACAATAAGATGTATCTTATAGTTTATGAATGGTTATTAATTCAATAAAAGTAAATTGCCTCTCACGGAATATATTCACTTAAGGTGTATTTCATTTAAATTATCAAAACACCCAGGCAGTAGCAGAGAATCGGCTTTATATAATAATGGGATGTGACAGCGCGGGATATCTAGAGAAAGCACTGTTGACGAAAGATCATCGTTTCAATTGCGATGTGCAGCCAGTGATGGACTACTATGACTTTGCGACATTGACACTTGGTCTCGAGGTAGATCCAAATGCTGTAGAGGCTATAATGCCAAGGGCCTCTCTAAAGTGTGAAACGCTTATAGCTGTATTCCGTGAGCTTAGCTATCCACCGGGTATGCTTTACGTATAATTCTAGTTGCGTAAGCTTAAAATAGATAATAAAGTTACATTGAGTAAATATTTTGATATATTTTTCTGGTTTTTGAGTAAAGACCTTTTAGATTTCAGCATAAAACGTGGCAGGAGTATACCAACCATTGTCTTAAAATGTCCCATGGGACTTCATGTAAGCAAGTGATTTCTAATAGTTATAATATCTTGGACAGTGAAGACGAGTGTATCGTTTAGATTCATCCATTATATCAAAGAAAGTATATGTACTAATAACTCACAATCCAAGATATAACTGTCTGAAAAAGAAAGCTTTTTCTAGAAAGCGCTTAACATTTTTTCACGTAGGTAAGACGTACGATGAAATCATATCTGCGTGGAAGGCACATGCAGAGAAATCATTTCTAGGGAAAGGAACGCCTGAGGGTGGAAATCGCGAAGTTTTCCATTATGTAGGAGAGGAAAGGGTATGCGGTATCATCATGAATCATATCTACCTACCTATCAGATTTTTAAACTTTGTTTATGCTTAGTTTTATAATGTATGTATTTTTTATTTAAACTTTATTTTTATCTCTATAAAATTTCCACGTTACAACGTTTCTTTTGACAAGTTGTATATTAACATTTTGTACAATGTTCACTGCTACCCACCTAGTTACACAGACGTATCGTCAGTGTATCATGGCGGAACTACTTCTGGGACTAGGTTTCGGTAAGATTTTTTTATTTCCCGATTTACACCTACTTATAAGTCACGTTGTGGATAATAATTTGGCTCGAAGTTAAGGAAGATAGTCTAGTTTGAGAATGTGTCGATGGTTTTAGGTTTTATATGTTAACGAAGACACAATTCACGTATTTAGTCCCTCGCTTTTGTTACACTGACGAACGACCAATATCAGTGTAATATTGGCAATATTAATGCCGAACGTCAGTGTAACAAAAGCGAGGGACTAAATATGTGAAATGCGTCTTCGTTAACATACCAAACCTAAAACCATCGACACATTCTCAAACTAGACTATCTCCCATAACTTCGAGCCAAATTAAAATCCATATCGTGACTTATAAGTAGATGTAAATCAAGAAATAAAAATATATCTTACCAAATTCAAATCCCGGAAGTAGTTCAGCCATGATACACTGACGATACGTCTGTGTAACTAGGTGGGTAGCAGTGATGTTGTTTTGCCATACTTATGCATTCAGTATCCAAACCCAATTCGATCAAATGTTGCACATCCTCTACACATTTAGTCAATGGTCGAAAATACGAGGGAGTCTGCATTTGATAACGTTGAATGCTTTAAAACTTACAATATTATGACTAGGAAGTGGTTTTCCGTGTCTGGGAGAATCCAGAGGAATTGGACTTCAACATAATAAGCGGTGGTTGGGTACTTCAAACGAATGTGACGTCAGGTATAAGTCACGAGTCGAAGATTTTACTGCATTTAGACTGTATCTGCAATGAAAACTAGGTACGTAAAAATGAAAACATATAGCACTAGGGGAGAGCGGGGTAAGATGGAACGCGGGGTCAGACGGAACGATGGCTTTTTATTGAATAATTGTTTAAAAGAGGTTACTGAAACCACATCGTTCCATCTTACCCCGCTCTCCCCAAGTACTGCGACACGGAGACCGATATCGTATTATATTTTGTTTCCAATCAATAAGGGAAAGCGAAACATCTTGGGTCGTAATTAAATGCTTGTCGTCGTTCATAATAAACACTTTACTTAAACTTAAACGCTAGAATGTATAGTAATATTTTTGTAAAATATAAAACCATTGGACGTCGTGTAAATTAAAATTTTCATTGCAATGTACGAGAAAGGAGTTATTAAAAATGTGGCGAAATCAACTAAGTCATTTTGCTTTTATATTTCCTGTATAAAATTAAAGTTAGATAAGTGAATCGTAGTTGTATTGACAGCTATTTAATTTCGAAATAAAACATTCCTTAAACCAACCCTTTAAATGGATAAATGATGCTATTTTTCAATTTCAGCCCAACAGTGAGATGTAACATCAGAGACATACTGCAGTATAATACTAATGGTGTGATCCAAAACAAAATCATACTTTAAAGGGACATACAATCATATTTATATATCTTAAAACCTTAAAGTAATAAATATGACTAGATGTCATACCGATTGATATGAATAAAATGTGTTGTGTTTTAAAAATGAAGAAAACAAAAATAGAAATAAACTAACAGTGGCAACTAAATGTTTACTAGATCGAATAAGGATTTCACTTTAAAATGTAATAGTGTATATCTTTAAGAGTAGATGATGGACAAAAAGTAAAGTGGTGGTTACTAGATCAGCCAGAATTCCGACAAGATTATTCAAAATTATCATTAATAAGATTAGCATACATGTCAGTTTGTATTAAAGCAATTCTCAATAGATTGTCGTATTATAATACAGAATGTTTAAATTAAGAAATATTGCTACTGCAATATTTTTTTTATCGAAGCCTGTGTTGACCCAGACCATTTTTATTAACATAAGAATTAAAAGTAAAAATGAATGAAGTTTAACTTTAAAAACTTCCCATGCAACAGAAAGCCCATGAACCCTTTCCGTATCTCACTTGTTGGGTACACGGAGCGGTGAAATAAACCACAGTGTCCAAAAACAATAACAATGCTATATTGGTAATTGGAAAGATTCCACTTACCACTATTTCAAAAAATTGTAAATCTTGAATTTGAATCATTTGTTTTAAGGAATCTTTAGGCTCATTTAGCTGAGCTTACAAAATCATCGAGATTTACGGATAGTCCATCTGTCGATTGCTCATAGTCACTGTCAAGGGATGTTAATGGGTCTTGATCTTTGGGTAAAACAGTGGGTTGATGAGTCTTTGGCTCTGAATTCACTTGATTGTTGTACCTGATTTCAATATTTTCATCGTCATCATTACATGATATGGACCCATTTTTCAAGTTCACAGTATGAGGGATGAAACCATAGTTTTTCTCTTCTGGAATAGCATTTTCCAGTTGATGGATTTTTATCTAGTCTATCAATTCTCAATTCTTCATAAGAGTGTCTTGGAATGGTGTGATCAATTGCTTCACTGAATGAGGAAAGTTTATCCAAGCAATGGATAAACAGGAAATCTGGCCAGTTGTTCTTCTGTAAATAAATCATCATGATAAAAGTATAATTTATGGTAGCATCTATTTGTTACCGTTCTGAATCCAAATGATACATATTGGCATCCGTTTTATACATATATGTTTACGTTTACGAAATGTTGTTCAAATATCTTCTCTATTACAGGAATGTAGTAGCTGAAACTTTCCTATATTGTCATACTATATATATTGAATATGTATGCAATATTTCAAGACTCAATGTTAAGTAGGAACTCTGAAATCACTAACCTCGATTTGCTGTTATATTCTTGCAATGACCCCATTCCCTATAATGTACGCGATCACCTACCACACTACCCTACCTCGATCGTGCATGCGTGAAATACCGACTGCTTAGTCAAAAGGTTAATACCTTTGGTGCTCGGAGTGAGTCAATATATTGTTATTCGCTGAACTTCAGTGGTGCAATAGTGAAGTCCATGTTCCAAGTTATATGATGGTTGAAGAAAGAATGTAAATAATATCGTTTTAAATGTTAAAATATTTGATATATCATAGTATAGGGTACAGTTGCAAAAGTTAAAATTTGATATATCATAGTATAGGGTACAGTTGCAATAGTTAAAATGTTAAAATATTTGATATATCATAGTATAGGGTACAGTTGCAAAAGTTGATCAACACAGGGTACAAGGAATGTAAATTGTTCAATAGTACAGGGAGCGAGAAAGTAAGCTGATTATACAGAACGATTCGCTGGTTTTACACAAAAAACAATTCTGAGATAGTCAATAATATACTAGAATCATGTTTTGTACAATAGTGTGATAGTATATTTTTGAACCACTAAATGTAATTGATCTAATCTTTATTTTCAGACGAGTACAATAACAACGTACATGTGCCAATCAATTTTTCTAATGCGCTTGATATCCTCATCCAATGGTACATGGAGCTGTATTTGAGATTTAAAACCAGAATATAATAAATAATAGAGGAATGATACGTTTCATTGGAGTTCATTAATGCACGAATGCATACAAGGGGCGTCATTAGAATACGTCATTAGAATATTTCATATGCTGTATTTATGGAAATGCTTGCCTAAAACTGCAAAATAATTATATGAGCGGAATATGACATATGTTTGTATCGTGTTTATCGCGTAACCATTACCGCTGCCATTTTGAATGTTGACTAGACATAGTGCTGTACAAATAGTGTATTTGTAGGAAGTGGATTCATAATACTATAACTATGCTTAACCCATACTTTTAACTCTGAAAACTATTACCAGATCGATGTAGTCTTATATGACATGTTGGATGTCAGATATTTTTGGATGGTATCTGTTCCAGTGATTTTGCATTTAATCATGAAACGCTCATCACCAGACACCTCAAAACAAACATTAACCTCTTTGTGACAAGAGAAAAAATGTTTCACAATATGCTGTGCCTTACGGCAAAGTAAAGATTCATTTCTGGGACGACTTTTTATTCATCTTAAGATTTTAGAAAAACAATTAATTCACAAAAATACAGTCGAATAACATACTAGAAAACATATCTACATATAACACAATGACACGCAGTTTAAATAACAGTTAACTGTTTTTTTTTGTTACATACCAATGTCAAAATAAGTAACATTTTCGAAGTGAAACTTACACGCTCCCTGTACGTTAATAGATTTACTGAAATGTATCTTGTATTGCTTTCGAGTTTTGCTTCACTGCGCCCACTATTATCTATCTTTGCCTATATGTTTTTTTTGCCAACAATATTCTACAAACCGCTTGGTGAATCTATTTTATGTCTGGTAGAACACTAGAAATGAATGTAAAATGTATTTTACGTTCAGAAATATGGAATTAAACCCACGTCCTCCATTTGCAACTTAACTGTACCCTGTTTCCCTTTTAAATGTTGTCACGTGGTAGGGTAGTGTGTATATGTCTATGTTATGAATAACTGTTCAAAAAGCCTTTGATATTTAAATTTATCTGTGACGGTCTTTCAGTGTACTGTTAATGCCTGCAAGCTAAAAAACTTGTTTTTATTTGAACTAAGGCCATACCCGTGCCAGCGTCATATACATAGCGTTAAAGAGACAAATATTCAAGAATCAGTGGGGTACGCAGGGGTGAAGGATTCTTGTCTACAGGAGGACACTCTGATCAGGTAATGCTTATCTAAATTAGCAAGATATGATTACTAAAAAAGCTATAAAAACGATTAAAGGGGCAACAAGGACTGTAGAGTAGGGTGTTTTATTTTTCAAGAATGTTCTCAGATCATGACGACCCTTTAACATGGGGTTACAAATGGCGCTGGTAGTTCACTGATTTTTTTCAACAAAATCAGATAACGTTAAAACTGGTCCGTTTGCCATTCTTTCCGTCACATTGGATTGCATTGTGGGCGACGCCCACTTTTCAATGGAAAACATTATTTCGCACTTCTTTGCTTATCATATGCCGGAAATGATTGTAAAATGTTTTCCTGTTTTTTACAATATTAAATGAATTATACTTGTGTCAAAGTAAAAAGAAGTGTAAATTCAGTTCAAAGCTTCTATAAAGGGAGTCCCACATATAGATTTTTAAGATTCACCACGTTTCAAGAGGAATATCAGCTGAAATGATGTTCATCCAGGGGGTTTCTTTGTAGATAATAAAAATATATGTTAGTCTTGATGAAATGTCCAAATTTTATGACAAATATTTTGACACTGGTCTATGATCGTTGAATGGCCCCCTGCACTAATTGTTGCACCTCTAAACGAAGAGCAGTTAGATAATGTTTGTAACCGTTTGGGCGTCCTCTTTAGTTGCAGCCACCTCCAGAAATATAGAAGTTTAGGGGCTACATTCCCATTGAACCATGGCACGGACAGCCCTAGTCATATTAGCATTACTCTCAGGAGTACTATATACATCAGCACAAATAACAAGTAAGTACTAGTATTCATTTTGCAAAGCAGCCCAAGTTATAAGTAAGTATACAGTGTTACAAGTAGTTACAAGTCATAAGTCATTATACATTGCGTTGCATTGCACATCAGCCCACATTATAAGTACTGTAAGTATACATGTTAAAAGTGCAAATTACAAGTCATTATACCTGTAACACATCAGTACAAGTAACATGTAAGTATAACTTTTACACACCCAGGGATTATGGTCCCCCTTTTTAAAGGCCCTTACTGGTCCCGATTGTGTATAAGATAATAAGGGAAAGAGGTCACCATATAAATCAATGGAGAGTAGGACCATAAATTAATAGGACCTCCTACCCTTTTACACCGGCACAAAGTGCAAGTAAGTATACATTTAGCACATCAAAGAATTGTTACAAGTCAGTAGAGATTTTCAACATCAGCACAAGTTACAAGTAAGAATACATTGTACTCATCAGCAAAAGTTACAAGTACTCACTCATATAACATACCACCAAAGATAAGTAAGAATACATTTAAACATCAACCCAAGGTTCAAGTGAGAACACATTTAACACACCAAAGAATTTCTACAAGTCAGTACAGATTTTCAACATCAGCACAAGTTACAAGTAAGAATACGTTTTACTCATCAGCAAAAGTTACAAGTACGCACTCATATAACATACCACCAAAGATAAGTAAGAATACATTTAAACATCAACCCAAGGTTCAAGTTAGTAAGTATACCTGTTATATATCATCCCATGTTACAAATAAGAAAACATTAGTATACAAGTCAGTATAGAATTACACATCAGCACAAGTTAGAAGTAAGAATACATTTTGCACATCAATACAAGTTACATGTCCCCACAAGTTACAAAAAATTAAGCATGTACATGTTACACATCAGCACAAGTCAGTATACATTCAACACATCAGAGCAAGCACAATTAATGGACCAATACAAATGATCAATGTAGGATAACTTTATATATGTCAAACACCCACAATCCTTGTTAAATGTAAATTGGAAATATTAAATTAAAATATTCAAATACTACAGGTTGGGAAAATTGTGCCGTTGTATATCCAATGAGATATATATATAGCTAGTATATGTGCGTTTACATTATACACCGACAAAGGTTACTTACGGGTCAAAACTATACACAAAAGTACACATGACAAGTAGGTGAACATTTTTTCATCTACAATTAAATACACTACAATGTTTCTTTTAACAAATACCTAAAATGCCTTTAAAAAAGCTTGCTTCTTATAAAATCCCATATCGGGTATACAAAATACATTTTATGACTCTGTTTGTCAAATCATTTATTTTATTAAGTGAATATATATATCTTTTATTGACTCTTTAGATGTCATGCTCTGACATATATAATACAATACACATCATCATAAATTAAAAGCACGTTTTTTGCTATATGCATTGCCCTGACACCTTAGTGGATAAAGACTGCATTTTTTCGGGTTCATTTGAGGAATCCTTCGTTTATCCAAAAACGGAACGTTGCATTTTTAGGGTTACACTAGAAGTTTTGTAAGTAAGATTTGTGGAATTTAGGTACATACAGTGAATGATGATCAGTTTAATATCTAACACGACGGCTTGGAAACTGAACAATTTGAAGGTGATCCAGAAAGACTAATTGGTTAAATGTGCAGCTGTTTTAAATACATGTTTTTAGACGTTTCGCTTCACTTATTTTAGGCACATCGTGCGGTTTTGAGGGATTGGCTAAAGGATCAACAAGTGTTTGCAATAGTTGGACTCAGGATACCAACGACGATGCTGATTGGACGGTCGGGGAAGGAAGTACCCCATCTGGCAACACAGGACCTAGTGGAGCGCGATCAGGAAGTAAGTAACATTTTTAAGGTTATTTTATTTCCATATTTGAATCATATATAAACATACAATAATACATGAATATGGAGAAACAACCCTACGTTTGCACATAATTGGTTTGTGAAGTAAGTAACGTCAACTTTAACTAATCGAATATGAAATTCATGAATGTTTTAAAGACAAAAGACATGAAATAAAAGGGGTATATAATTTGCATGAATTCTTGGATTATTTGCAAATTCTTGTAAAAATGTTTTGATTTGAAAAATGTTTAAGTGTAAAATGTTAATATGCCACAGCTATGTCGTAAGGACCTAAAATGCATAGTTAACGAAGAAGGTGTGCAAAACGATGTACAAACATTTACAAAAACGGCCCCAGCAGAAAACTAGTTCTCTCAATTTTCAGGTAAATATGGCTACTTTGAGGCAACAGACGTCAAAGAACCAAACAGACGGACACGAATAATTTCACCGACCTTACTAGGAACTGGTTATACATACAACGTCTCATATGGCTACCACATGTTTGGGAGTCATATTGGACGCGTTCGAGTTTATACTCGACAAGGAGGATCTCTAAGTGAAGTTGCAGCAGCAGGACGCCAAGGTGACCGGTTATAGCTACCTAGAAAAATCAGATTTTATAATTTATCTCATTCCGGGACTATTGTATGTATTACATTGAATTGTATTGTATTGCATTTTATTATTTTGTATTGTATTGAATTATATTGTATTGAATTGTACTGTATTGTATCATATTGTATTGTATTGTCTTATATTGTATTGAATTGTACTGTATTGTATTGTATTTCATTTATTTTATTGTACTGTGTTGTATCATATTGTTTTCTATTGTATTGTATCTCTCTATTTCTTCCTACAATATTTACAAATTACTAAACAGGGCTATAATTTATATTTCCGTTAGTATTCCTTTGTAGCACATCGTTTTATTATCTTATAAACAAGCCTATTTACTTGGAATAAGTCTGCCTTAACTACTTATCCACTTTAAGGTGCAATGGAAAATTGTGACTTTTGACATACTAGGGTTTATCCCCACATTACCTACATCCCCACATTCTAATAGCATATTTGTCTCAGCATTTCACAGTTTAATGATGCGATTTTAGGGCAGCAACAGACAAGTAGTGACGCTCCATGGGGCTTGCAAACTGTGACTCTGCCCTTGATTAATGGAAATTTCGAGGTTGTTTTTGAGATTGAGAACGGCATTAATCTGGAGCCAGGTAATGATCATCCTTTCCGGGGAGATATTGCCATTGATGATATTGGGATTGAAGGAACTAATGGCGACGGTGACTCTGGCAATGGCGGCGAAGACTCTGGCAGCGGAGGTTAGTGATAACATATATTTAGAGGAAAATATAATAAATTAGAAAGATAGGTTAACTGGAGCACTATCTTAGCATCATTACATTTGCACTGAAAACCTACAAGGCTGCGTTTTTAACTGCCCGCGCCGCAAGTAAATTGCATATATAATGAGTTCCCCCCCTGGGTATCATGAAAAAGAACAATAAGTTCCACAGTGCAAATTACATGATCACACACACTCCCGACACGCCCTTGTAAACACCGCTTAATACTGCTGTCAAGCAACCCCACACCCGCTAGTCGCTGGTGCACTAAAGGAATTCCATTGCAACAAACCATGGTGTTTTTCAAAAGAACTATGTGAGTGTTAGTGCGCTTAGATTTAAGAATTTACGAATTACCATACGTAGTACCATATTATGAGCTTTTCATTTTTACCTGCACAGTGTATACATTAGCACTATCTTTAAAACGCAATCCTGCTAATTTGCAGAGAAAATTGCTTAAAAGTAGAAAAATCTTCTGCTGAAAATGGGTCACAAAATATGTTTCACGTGTACATGTACAGTAGTACAGTAGAAAAATTAAATAGAGAATTGAATCTTATACACTGCATTGGTAAAAAGTAAGAATAGAGAATCAAATCTGACATATTCTCCTTTGACCTCAATGTGCGAGAATTGTCAATCATTTCACAAATTCTCTACTTTCCAATTGTTTTCAATGTAGGATAACTTTAAACACCCACCATCCTTGTTAAATGTAAATTGGAAATATTAAATTAAAATATTCAAATACTACAGGTTGGGAATATTGTGCCGTTGTATATCCAATGAGATATATCATTGACTTTTGTTGAGTACACCGTTCTATAGTATGCTTTGTATTTTCCTGTTCCCATGGATTTTTATCCCCTTTTGTACAGTTCGCATTAGTACTTAAAGAAAAATCTTGTATAAGGTCACTATAACGCCAATTGGGAGGCTGTTATCTCAAAAACCACGATCTAACGTGAAAAGAAATAATGTCTGATACCCCCACTCCTTCCCCCTCAAATCGAGAACCAATATCACAATCCAGGACCAGAACACCAAGGGACATTTCATTTATACTGAAGTATTACAATACATGTTGAAAAAATTGAAAAAATTTATGGCCAATACTCATAACATCAAAAATAGTACTAGTACTCATAAAAGAGCATCCAGTCTGAAATGATGTGGGACAGACGAAATTTAGTCTGGATGGAAGTCCATAGGCAATTCAAAGGGTCAACATCCATTCGCAAAGCCGTTGTTGTCTTAATCAATAAAACACAATAATTCACAATAGTCATCAGGAGAAAACTCCCGGGAGAAAACTATGGCTGGTTTCGATCCCTATTTCTCAACCCTAGCCGGAATCCACCTTAAACCTTACAGGTTCATAAGGACTTTAATGTTCGTTTCTAGTAATATCTAAGAGAGTTAATCTCATTTTGGATAGGATACTTCATTTCAACTTTAACGATTATTGAGCAGCTTGATTTTATCATTTTCCCTAGCTTCAGGAGGTTGCGCTGGAGGTACTGCCGATATTGGTTTTGTGGTTGACTTCTCTGGAAGTTTGGATGACACGCAGCTTAGATCAGTGTTGGATTTCACAAAGAGTCTGATAGATCTATTGGATATTGGAGAAGATAATGTTCGTGTGGGATTTATTTCTTTTACCAATGAAGTAATCACCAGATTCAAGATGAACGAGATGTATGAAAAAGCTGAGATTTTGGCTAAAATTGACCCTTTGCTCCAAAACAGAGGTATGCAACAAAACGATGCCGATGTTAATGTACCATTTCAAACGGTTACTAAGAAAAATAATTCCATTGACGTTTGAGGAAAAAACGCAAATGAAAGTTTCATAATAAGTAATGTACAAGTAGATGATGATACGTTCAAAACAGTGTAACGTGAATTTCAATCTTCTGGATCCTCTCTGTCTACAAAAATCTCAGATTCGTCTTTTGCAAGAAAATTGCCTTTTTATATTTTAACTTGTTCAATTGCTTTATTGCTCAAAAACAAATAGACATTTTTATTTGCACCATTCCCATTGATATTTCAATCCATTCCCACTTTCAGGCAATAGAGGATCAACCAATCTAGCAGGAGGTTTGAACCAATTGATAGACGACCTCTACGCTCCTGGAAATGGCGAGAGAGATGGTATCATTGATATAGGTATATATATTTGAATTAATAAATGAATGAATGAATGAATGAATGATGATGGGACATTGAAGAATAGTTTTGCCACCGGTAGTGCTTACCAAAACCCCGGAAAGTATTTATCAGAACCTTACAGTGTCAAATAAACTTAAGATATAGGTTGTCAATTGTTGTAATCATCCTCAGATTAGATATCAAACTCTTTTTTAGTAATTAGTCTTTCTATGACCTTCCTACCGGTTATCGTCACATTGGGATGGTGGAAAACAAAAACAAATTTAATCTAAAATATAGTGAATAAGGCCAACAGTATCTTATTATTGTTAACATTGTTTTACCATTTAAAAGCGAGAACGTGTTATGAATTAAATAAATAAAAAACATGTCAGCTACGAAATATTTTTTAAAAGAAATTTTCAAACTCTCCCGACGATCCCTTGGGTAGACATCTTTGCAACAAATCATGATATTGGTAAGACCTTACGAAAGGTCTTTAGCAATTTTTTGGACACTACAATTGTAATTTTCTCATCTAGTATCAATATTTTGGCAAAGAACACATGTTCACTTATCTATTTAAAAAATTAAATTATGGATATTCAAAGGAGGACATTTAAATCTACAATATGTAAAAATATCAAAATTGTCCAAAGCAGGCGGCGCGTAATGTGCAGTAGACTAATGAGCTTCGTTCTCCAAACCGAGACTAGTCTTTTGCAATAAAACCCTTTGTAGAGAAACAAATTGTAATGCAACTGATTCTAAGTTCTAAGCTAGGCGCTGTCTCCGTAACCATATTAGAGACGCGTGAGCTCTTCGTTTATTCCCTCATCATTTTACGCATTCTTTTATATTCATCTCATCTGATGGGATCAGCTACGAGTTTAATAAAGTGAGATGAATGGTACTAGATATAGCATGTGGTTCAATGTTTTATAAACTGGGCACTATAATATCTCGAAAAAACCTGACACAAGATACAAAATCTCACGGTATCTCTCAACTGCGAATGGACTGACCTACATGATGTGTTTTGATATTTCTAGCTATCGTTATAACTGACGGGAAAAGTTCCCCAGAATTCCGAGACGCCCTACCAGCTGCTGTTCAAAAGATCAAGAATAGAAGTGGAATGATTCAATTTGGAATCGGAGTCAAAAATGCTGACTTCGATGAAGCCGAATTAAGATCTATTGTTACATCTGATGCTTACTACTTTGATGTTGAAGACACTGCCAGCCTTCAAGAAATTACTGCAGAAGTTGTACAGAAAACTTGTAAAAGTAAGTCACACTTGGGTTAAAGTAAAATTAAGTTACGCGAAACATCAAATCAACTGAGAAAATATCGAAACAATGCCAATATATTTATAACTAAATAGGTAAAATTGAACAAAGTTCAGTTCAAGACTCCAGAGCCTTTTAAGTTAAAAAATAACTTTGACACCTGATCTTGATGGGTAGATGGTTATAAGGTGCTTGGTCTGATGCTAGTGCCCTGTTCGTTTGATCGATGGTTATGTTCTTTACTTGTTACCATTAGTGTGCTTTTTAATTCTACTCTTCTTTATCGACTTTTTATGGCTTCTTTTTCATTAAAACCATCATTATGTTCTTACCATGTGTCCATATATGTCACACTTAGATCAGGGGTAGGACCTACTTGGGTTCATGTAAAAAGTCACTTTGAACAGTTCAAACACATTCTCTGGGTTACCGAGCAATGACATTCCACGTCTAATTTTAATATATCTTACAATTGGCACACAGATGTAAAAATAGTATGTCTAAAATATGTTGCCTATTTATCTTTAATAATCTTGAGAACCATTTGGGTTTTAGAAAAACCGGAGCATCCGTGTCATGAGAAATGCCAGTACACGCCCCCACCTCCCAAGACAGATCAACCTGGACTGCGTCGGTACAGTCGGGTGAACGCGATCTTGGATTGCACTTATGAAGATAACTGCGACATACAATTTCTCAAAGACTTTGCAGCTGAACTTGACCGGCAACCTAATTGCAAAATGTATTACCCACTGAAGGTAACTTACATCTTAACTTACATCTTTGACAGTTCCATTGCCGTTGTCCATTTGTCCTTCCGTCTGTTGGGTAAACGTTGGGTAATTTTTGAGATTTTTCTGTTTTTGTTTTTTTCTTTGCTTCGTTCATTTGATGCAACGACGATAAGACTAGCTCATCTGTTTTGATTCGTTAAATATAGCGATAGTAGCTACTAATTAAATGAATGAAAGTAAAGACCGATCTTTTACGGAAAATAATAATAAGGTGTATTGTCTTTAAATTATTGAAACACACAGGCAGCAGCAGAAAATCGGCTTTATGTTGTGTATGGTTGTGATAGCGCGGGACATCTAGAGAAAGCACTGTTTACGAAAGATCCCCGTTTCAAGTGCGATGTGCAGCCAGTGATGGACTACTATGACTTTGCGACATTGACACTTGGTCTTGAAGTATCTCCAAATGCTGTGGTGGCTATAATGCCAAGGGCCTCTCTAAAGTGTGAAACGCTTATAGCTGTATTCCGTGAGCTTAGCTATCCACCGGGTAGGCTTTAAGTATTATTCTAGTAGCTTAAGCTTAAACAGATTCCTCTGTGTTAATAAAGATGCCAACGGTGGAAATACTTAGGTAACATTCGCTGGTATCAACTACCGGCTGTCGGCTGACTGTTTGATTGCTATTTTAGGGCCCACTCATTTGAATTTTGGATATTTTTTCGTAGTCTCGTATAATTATAAATAAGCTCAAAATACTGGGAATTGAATAACCTTTTCAATGATACCCAATACACCCTCAAATGATTGTTCGTTTCCGAGATCAGAGGGGGTGGGGGGGGGGTCTGCCGATGTACCCCTCTCCCCTAACCGTTGGTGTAATTCTCTTTAGCCTAACCGTTTAATGGTTAATGAAGTAAATTATTTTTTCAAATAGGTAAGACGTACGATGAAATCATATCTGCGTGGAGAGCACATGCAGAGAAATCGTTTTTACAGAAAGGGACACCTGAGGGTGGAAATCGAGAAGTTTTCCATTATGTGGGAGAGGAGAGGGTATGTGTTTACCTGTTAGCCTCTCTAAATCTATCTACGAGGGGTGATTCAAAAGTAAAAGCAATATCTATATGCACCACACCAGAATTCACCCAGTCGGTGTGAGGTTTAGCATAAATCAGGGTTATTCAATTATCTATGTATACGTTTTTAAAACATTCACTTTACAGAATTAAAAACTATGGAAATTATGGGACTTCATAAACATGTGGTATACCCATAATTAAATTTTCAACCACCATGCATGACATCATTAATTGTAAATCTTTGTTAAAATGACTTGACTATCAATATTTCAAAATATTTTTGAAATAACAATCAATTAGTCTATAAAATCGTTCTCATTACTTTTGAATCACCCCTCGTATATTCTCAACAGTGCTAAGAAAGCAGAGATCCGTGCCATTGTTATTATGCTTATTGGTAGTACTCCATCGATACGTCCATTCACACCCCAATCTTACTGTGAGCGGCTCGATGTTATGATATAATATTATTCACCATTCGTTGAATGGTTGCCAATGTGACAACTGGAGTCATATAGAAGTTGATGCTTTGCCGACTTGACCATTGCAAAAGGATACACTGTAAACATGTCATTTTAGTGATTTCGTATCTTTCGGGGGATTTCGTACAAAATATTTTGCAATCTGTGAAAAAATTTAAGCCCAAGACTTGATGCATTGTGGCTGATGCATTCCACTCAGGCGTCATTTCCTAAACTTCACACTCAATGCTGCCCATCTCGTGCAAGGGTAGAAGTCACGCCTTTTGAGGAATAATTCAGACAACATTGTATTGAGTCAAGGGTTTAAATCCTTAAATATCATGATTAGGAAGTGGTTTTCCGTGTCTGGGACAATCCAGAGCAATTGGACTACAACGTAATATCCGGTGGTTGGGTACTTCAAAAGGATGTGACGTCAGGGATATCGCATCGGTCGAGAACTTTAATTCATTTAGACTGCATCTGCAATGCAATGTAAGAGGTAAGTGATAATGGAGACCCGAACCATAGCATTACTGCGACACAAAGAAACCAGTTTTTTGTATTATATTTTGTTTCCAACCAATAAGGGATAACGATGCATCTTTGGCGTATCCGGATCATCTCTCACATCCTCGTAAATAATCAATGTTAATGCTTGTCGTCGTTCACGATCAACACTTAACAACTTAAACGCTGGAATGCAATAGTTTTATGTAAGATATAAACCATTAAACATGTTAATCAATTTTTTCATTGCAATGAAAAGAATTATCTACCCTTTGCATTCGTTTCACTTCACTTCTTAAAAGAGAGCTTCGTCTAGTAGTTTAACTAGACTCTGCACGCAGGGTAAGAATTATCGATAATGTGTCGAAATCAAGTAAAAGTCATTCTAATTACCCTGTCGTTACGATTAAAGTTGTATACACCAACTCTCAGATAAATCGTACTGTATTGACCCCGGGGTATTGACAGGTATTAAAGAAATAAAACATTCCTCAAACCAAACCCTTTAATACTTTAAATATTTTCTTTTATTTCAGATAAATTTTGAGACATATCGCATCAATCGTGACCAGAAAACAAAATCATACTCACAAGGAACATACAATCATATTAATCTACATTGATGTCATGAAGATATAAAGAAATGTGTTGTGGTTCAAAAATGAAATAAACGGATTAACCTAATCCCTTAGATGCAGTCATTCAAAAGGCCAGAATGCTAGCCACTAGGCTACTCCACACACTCATTATTTGGAGAAATCTTTAAAATACGAGTACACGACCATCTACAACTCTCTTATTGTTGAAAAGCAGGTACAGGTGTAAAAGAAATTATGGTCCCTTGGGGATTATGGTCCCCTTTCCTTACGACCCTTACTGGCCCTGACTGTGTATAAATAATAAGGAAAATAATTGTAATTAGGTCACCATATAAATCAATAGAGAGTAGGACCAAAATTTGATAGGACCACCTACCCTTTTACACCAGATGGCTGACGAATTCATAATAACTTTGTTTATGCCCTAAAACATACTAGTTTGTATTTTTGAATATATATTTTTCGAATGGTAAATTGTCAAATCAACCTCACCTATTGACTCATTTCATTGATTGACGTGTCTATTTATTTATCTTTATAAAACAAACTATCGTGATAAGTAAATTACAACTATTGCTATTTCCTTTTGCTTGCATGGTAAGGTATCCTGAAGTCAACTAAAAACAATGCATACCAAAGATCAAGATTATCTGAACAGAATAATCGTGGTTCGATAAATTACAATTACTAATTGCAACTTTCTTTTTGTTGGTCTCGCGTGGTAAATAGGATTTAAACAAATAATGACAATACAGCATAAAATAGACCTTTTTATCCCATACTTGGACGTGTTACAGTACGTTACATAAAGCCGGTTTGTAAAAGCTTACATTTTCATCAGCGGGCAGATATAGCTTTACGTCCCGCTCCGAGCGGGCAGATGTTATATCTGGCCGCTACGTCATAATCGCCTTTCCTATATATAGAGATTAATCTCTTGAAAACCCCATGGGCGTTCTTTTAAATATCGAACTGCTGAGGTGAGCGGGAAATATAGAGATTATCCTATATGAAGTTCAGGATATTGGGATTATCCCGAGGCAAATATAATATATCTGTCCGCAAAAAATCGAGAAAATAAATGTGGGAATATTTGAGAGAACAGGAAAATCCGCCCACGGCCAAGAAAACGAAACTGGACATGAATATTCTAAAATATTTCCACGATTGAACAATGTGAACCAGATGACAAAGATTGGTATGGGATAAACAGATCATCCTATAGTCGGTTCAGGGTATTGGGATTATCCCTTGGCCAATATAATATATCTACCCTCGGGATCTATGGCCCTCGGGCAGATATATCAAATTGGCCTCTGGATAATCCCAATATCCTGAACCTCATATTGGATAATCTATATTTATCCTATGACAAGTGAGGTTTCAGGTAGATAAACAGCGGGATATAGAATTGATATCTATGAGGAGCAGGACATATATAAACAATGGTCGATCCATATATTCTGATAAAAATGGTATCATTTTTGTGCTTTTTCAGCTATCCCTCTCATTATTTCAGAACTAGTAGATAATGTAATTGCACATACAATGGTACAATATCACAACTATGTCTTTACTTAATTTTGAAATATGGTTGCCATGGTAACCTGTATTTAGGGAAGGCATGTCAGTAGGTCTTGGCGACCAAAGTAATATACGAGTAGCCGTACGTTTATTATGCGCATTATAAGTGAACATCTAAAAAAATCCTAGTAAACCACTGTCGACTCACTCAAGATTGAAATTGTATTTGTTAATTTTCGCTTAGTGTAACTCAACTGATGACGGTATCATAGAAGTTAACAAAAATAATTGATGTCAGAAATGTCATTGTCCGGTGTATCCATTAGCGTTTATAAGGCCTAAGGGGTAGCATAGTTGAAACTTGACTTAGCTTGTATTCGCGAATGCAACTTTCTGCTGACGGATACCGGATTAACCTACTATGTTATGGGCAATTCAATTAAATATGAATAGAACTTGCCACTATTCCATTCATATTAAAATAAGTTGGTCATAAAAGAGTAGCTTTCAATTAGGTGGATTTTGAAGCTCTCGATTGCTAGGCTATCTGTGAAATCTTGTAAACGTCTGGTGGACACGTCAATTTATTCACAGATTGTCTGATTTGATAAGCATAACAAGTGAATATTAACAATAATGTCATAAATTCAATGATTCGAGTCATATTTTTTCACGAAGTTCCAGTTTTCTCCACTATGACACGATATATTAAAGATTAAACTTTCCCCAATGCACACTCGCAGTCGGCACTCTCAACATATACCTCAACTTCACACAGGGTCAAAGCGTCAATAGACGAATCTATTGCATTCTGAATCTTGATGTATCTTCCAACAGACGTCTGTGGGAATGCAATTGTTGTCGGGTTGTTTGCCGGCGTCCCAGTGTACAGGTATTCTCTAGACCAGGATGTACTATTGACGTTTTCTCCATCAAACAGCTCATTGCTTACTTCGATTGCGAAGTCATGAAGACGATCACCTTACAAAGAAAAAAATATTTAAATATTAGAGAGAATTGGTACATTCATAATTCATAAAATTGCGTATCCTCTTGCCGAAATATATATACATAGAGGTACTTACTACAGCAGTCGAGGCGATTCCATATAACTATCTTGCACAGTTCATATGCTTTCCCAAGGTCAACGATCCACCATGGATGCATCTCTTCAAGTGTATGTGTACACGATTCTTCATTGTATATCCCTTCTGTATTCCCATCTACAGCTCGTCCTGATCGACCATTGCTACCGATTGTAGATTGATACGTTGTTTTATTTACCGCCACATTTGTTTTGGAGTTATTATCTAAAAGATTAATACAGGTTGAAAAGAACAGTCGGCTAATGATGTTAATATTATTATTAATCTATTCTACTATTAAAGTCTGACCCACTAGAGTAAAAGTCTTGACTTCATCTGAACGTTTAAAGATAATGGTCAAATTGTGCCAATATATCATCTTGGCTAATGTATCATCTTTGTCATATTTTGCCATTCTGATACTCATAGCATCTCTCTGTTGCATCGCAGAAGGATAGCGCTGGAGAGGGTGTGGCTTACCACGATGTATTTTGCCAGAAATGATTGTTTTTTCAGAATCTCTCCATGTGACTTTAAAAAAGATTACATTTGTTTTTAACATTGTGTTTGTTCATAACATATGACAAACTGTTTTATTCATAAATAAATCATAGCATACGAAGAGAAGGTTTTGTTCGTAAAATGAAAAAAGTTTGTTCATAGATAAATAAAAAAGTTTGAAGAAAAAGTTCACGGTTCTGTTTATAAATAAATCATACATACACATGCATGAAGAAATGGGCTGATCAATAACCCAGATGCGAGTAGAAATAATCTTGATTTACGTCATTAAAAATTCAAAATTCAGTCAAAGTAATATCATATTTGAAATCTACATGTAAAATTGCATCTAGAAATGTGGTTTTAAAAAGTGTTTATCAACTTTGAAAAATTTATTTTCTTTGAAAATGTGACTTCTAGCTCGGGGAGATTCGCCATAGACCCCATGCTATAAAATCACAAAAAATTAAATATCTTTTCTTATAGTGGACAGATAATATTTTGCTTTACTGGACATATTTTCATTTGTATAAGTATCAGACACACAAGGGTTATATGAAAATTGAGCCACTTAAATTGATAATATTCAAGTTTAAGGGAACTTTCTTATATACCTGCCATGTTAATTGACCCGAATCAGCCACCTGGTGGTGAAACTGGTAACTACATACTCGCATTTGGGTAATTAAGAGACCCTCTTTTTTAGAAACTACCGTATTTGGAGTCGTTTGAAGACTTGGCATGTACTTCCGAGAAACACTTGAAATAGCTAAACGTTTATGAGCAACCTGCTTTAAAAATAGTTGTTCTGGTGATTGTCCTGAGGCCCGAGGTTTATCCAAAAACCATATAAAATGCTATTTGATATACTAGGTCGTTCAATAAGTTCGCGGAAATTTGCTCTGCTTTGACAACACATCCCATATTCCAAAACCAGGCAAGGAGGTCATGTTTATTTATTTATGGATATTGGCTTTCCCAAAGTCATACAGTGAGGACCGATGTACTAATGAAATGTTAATAATTTAACGATCAGTTAAAAATAGAACAATATACATTTGAAGATATCCCTCTTACAATGGGTTTGTGGATGCACTTCATATTAAGTTCATTCCCAAAATTAGTTTCCAAGAAGAGAACTATTTTGCGAACTCAATGAATAATTTGCACATTTTTTTGTTGTGGATAAAACACCAATTTTGATGATATGCGCCAATGAGACGATCTTCAATATAACATCACATTCGCAGGATATAATCCAAAATGGTCGCGAGTAAATCTCAGGCACGACATGGAAATCTGAAATTATAGAGGGCGCAAATCCAAGTGCACTTGTACCGGAAGTCTGTCTAAATATGGCGGGACTACACAAATTCGACCTACTTTTGTACCACGTGATGTGTTTTAGCCAATAGCCGAGGGGCTGCTAGATGTCTGTCAAGTTATAGTATTTATGTCTCAAATAAAAATGCATTATATCTCATCTTATATTGGACTTTTAAGTTACATTATTGAACCCATTAACAGCACACTAAGTGATTTTTCCCGATCCAAAAATTTCTTCTGAGCCCTTGGTGTTCTTAATTCTAAGTGATTAATCTTGATCCTAGGTGATTGTTATTGATCTTAGTGATAATGTTTTTGATCCTTAGAAATATCCTCATGATCTTGATCTTTGGTATCTGTCTTGATCCTTAAGGATTGGGTCGATCCTAAACAATTTTACAGGTGATTGTTCTTAATCTTAAGTGATTGTTTTTATTACTTTAAATTTTTCTTGACTCTTCTGGGCAATTGTTTGGTTGTGATTCTTAATATTTTGTTTTGATACTGTGATTGTACTCAATTGTTTTAATCTTAGTTGATTGTCCCTGGTTTAGGTGATTGTTCCTGATCATAAGTGATTTACCTTGATCCTTGATATTTTTTCTTTACTAAGCTCGGTCAGAACGTGGTTGATTGTTTTAGAGCATATTAATTGGTCCCTATGTGATTTGTGATCGTGCTGGTTGTACAATGTACAATAGACTATTAATATACTAGTATTGTCCAAAATTTTCCGGGAAATCTCATTTCATTTCGCCGTGTGTAAAATGAATATGCGCCCTCTATAATTTCAGATTTCCATGTCGTGCCTGAGATTTACTCGCGACCAATCAAAAATATATGTCTTGTAGGCTCAATAATGACACGACTCAAAATATTTGTTGAGAAAGTCACTTGCAAATTTATTGATCGCCCCTCGTATAAAGCAAATTTCACCTGTTTTAATCACACCAAATTTCCACCCATCTGACTTGTCCAATTTCCTACAATCCACATCTACAAATAATTCACATCTGAAGGAGTATACATGGTAGTTAAATGCTTTACATGTAGTTGCGTGCGCACACAACAGTAGACATTGATTCCATGTGTGAATGTCCAGACTTGTGTCATTCGGCGTGTTGGAGAGCTTCACATTCAATTTTGGTATTGCGAAAATCCCTGCTGTCCACTGGTTGCAGGCTATAATCTTGACACAAATTCCGAGAAAAACGAAAACAAGTGATACTAATTTGGATGTTTCCATTTTTAGGCTATGTATCCGATAAGTTGAAGTTTAAAACTAGGTTCCTTTCCTTTGGCGTCAAAACCAACGTACAGATCGACCTTAGTGTAGTGCTGTAACAATAACTTTCATTGCCACCACTTTTGACTTTGATACGTAGTAGTTATTGCTAATTTTCATTGTAGACTATTGTTTGGTTTCGATGTTTTTAAGTGAATATGATCGATATTTTGGAGGTAATTACCATCCATTAATTGTCTGCATTGATTGCGAAGAAAATTAAAATAAGAGTTAAAGGCGGTATCAGATATGTAGACGTAACAAGCAACATATGCAATATTGACGGCCTACAAATGTATTGTATTCGTTACCATCTCCCAAAACATCAGCAGTGTGTTATCAAATAGAGGGGTTTCAATAAACCTTAGCTTTGAAATCTCTCTTTGAAACATACTATTGAATTAAGTGAAATGTTTTCCCAATACTTTGAAATATACAGTAATGTTATCAAATTATTTTCCATGGCTTTTTCAACTTTTCTAAAAAGAACTGTGGGCCAAATCTTTACTGATGCAATGTTAAAATTCTTTAAAATCTTGGTTCATTCGTTCGGCAACCAAAATTTTCATGATTAATCACAGTAAGTACGTTAACAGGGTCATTCCATAGTATGTCATTCGTGATTTGAATAGATTCAACCAATTTTTTTTGATAAATCATGAAATTAAGTGAATATTGCAAGTTTTAATATTTTTTTTAGAGAAGTGAACACATTTTTGTAAAAATCATAATTTTTTCACAAATAATAGAACACTCAGTGTTGATTATGTGAAAATAGACATGATAAGAAATGATACAAGCCTGGAATATTCTAAAGAGAATTCTGTTGTTAGCATACTAAATCTGATACTACCTTTAAACAAGGGTCTCTTATTCTATTAAATGGATCAATGCCCAATGTATATAATGGACCTGGTACAACCTTTAAAAACACGAGATCCATTTCCGTATAGATGCTGACTGTAAAGGTTAGGATGACATAGTCATTGTAGTTTATGTTTTATCGATTTCATATAAATGCTGACTTTTTGACAATTGTAGCCCTCTCTTAAGGTCAACTGGCAACATTGTATACCGATACTGTAAACCTTGAAAGTACTGTTGACCGAGATATAGATATAGTATACTTTTAATTAACCAATCAGAATTGAGTATTTCAGCTGAGGTACTTACAATGTGATTTGTATCAATTCCGTATAAATGCGGTGGTCAAATGGTTGGGATGACAGTGCAGTTTATCTTGTATCATTACTGTTAGATGAGCAGATTTAAGGATGGTACCTTTTATACCATATTTATTTTCAAATTGAAAACTACGACATGCACACAATGTGAAGTAAGACGTAACAAGAAAACTCCACGAAGTAACAAATCCAGTGGCGGATACAGGGGGGTGCGCGCGGGACGCGCGCTCCCCCTAAATAAATTGTTATTTAGTTCTAATGTAATTTGAATAACACTTGCATATTGTAAATCAAGTTAAATTTATGCCGGTGGGGATTATCGTTCTTTTTATTTTCAGATTGTATGAATTGTATATTGAATGTTAAATACTAGAAACCTTAGATGATCGTCTTCTTCAATTTTAAACAAATATATTTTAATGCTGATAAGATTTTCGATTTAGCATTATACAAGTCGTACAATGTTAATGAAATTACTTATGATTCAATTATTTTTATTTCATAATTCTTATATAATATACACTATAAAAAAACAAGCCGCTAGACACCCTAGTGGGTATATGTTGCGGTTTGACAGAAATCATTAAAATGACAACTAGACTACATATAAAAGAAAACACTTATATTATGTTACATGTAGGTATATAAAAATGGTATTAACAATTAATCTAAGGATGTACAATGTAAAAATGTTACAAGAATCGGGTACCAGTATAAAAATCAACAGTATAGTATGATATTGGTATTATACATTATCGATAGATGAGTAGTTTTTTATATGAAGATTTGAAAATATTTAGAGTGGAGCATTTTTTAATATCATGTGGTAGAGCATTCCAAAGATTAGGACCCAGATAGCGAAGGGAAAGTTTAGAGCATTTAGGGATATGAAAATAATGCAATTGTCTTGTGTAATGATGATGAATATTAATGTTGATATCAAACAAGTCTTGAAATAGATTTTTTGGAAGACTGGGGTGCTTATTAAAGATTTTGTACATGAACTGACCAGTACAATATCTGTTGACATCAAAAATATTTAATATTCTAAGATCTTTAAATAGGGGAGCGGAGTGAGAAAGTCTATCCTTATTTAAAGCTAGCCTTAAGAATTGTTTCTGCAGTTTATGTAGACGATCATAAAATGATTTAAATGTGTTACCCCAAATTATGTTGCAATAATTTAATTGAGAGTGTATCAATGAGTAGTAAATTGTTTTGAAACTGTCTATTTGAAGTAGATGTTTAATGTGATAAAGAGAACCAATGACGCGAGAAATCTTTGTTTCAACAGATTTTATGTGCTATTTTATTTCAAGTTTTTATCAATAATAATTCCAAGAAAGTCAATTTTTCCCGGAAATTTATGTTCTCATTGCGTATTTTAAGATTCAGATTTGTTTGATTTTTTTGGGGTCCAAATAGAATAGCATTGGTTTTGCCAATATTAAGTGAAAGTTTGTTTGCTTTTATCCAGTCATCTATTGAATTCAAGTTTGCATTAGTTCTAGTCATAAGTTCATTTAAATCATAATCACTATCAAGAAGATTGGTGTCATCAGCAAACATAATAAATTTTAGATTAGGGGCAACAAAAGGCAGATCATTTATGTAAAGAATAAATAATAGTGGTCCAAGTACCGAGCCCTGCGGAACACCACAATTTAGAGATGATTGTTTAGATTCATAATTGTTAATGGTGACATATTGTTTGCGGTCTTTTAAATAACTTTCAAACCAGGACTTAGCTATTCCTCTGATGCCATAATGTGAGAATCCCTTAAAGAATAGGGGATTTTTAGATATTCGCCAAGGAGAAGCTGATGCCTGGAAGCCGCAAGAGACTCAATCAATTTAAGACGAAAAAATTACAATAATGATAGAACTAATATCAAAGAAAAATGCACGTATTCAAGTACGAGAATAATACCAATTGAGATTTGGAAAGAGTATCTGACACCGAAAACGTGGAAACTATAGTACAGTGGCGAAGGTGTAAATTCAAAACTGCGGCAAATCAATATGTTAGAACACCAATTTAATAATTGCAAAACGATAGTTTTGATAGTTATAATAGATGGTACCCATGCTTCAATATTAAAACGTTGTTAACATTTTAAATCATGTAGCGTCTGATGAAAAATCAATGCACTGCTTGGAAACGATGATTTTTTGGGAATCCTTGACATCGCACTCATTTTCTGATGAAATATATAGATTGTTTTATTTCTCGGACGCTTTTCACTTTGGTAAAACAATTAATTTCAGATAACAATGCAATATTAGCCTTTTAATCATTATTGGTATCATTAAACTTTGTTCAGACTTTTTGAATCATGAAAATGCGGGACATATGTAACAATGTTATTCAAAAAATATTCGATAGAATCAGACGATCTGATGTTACTAACATCACATCGTACAAATGAGGATGGAGAAAAAAATATGGTCAGTCGATTTAAATTTTAAAAAGTTATCAATTACAAGTATATCATACGTTATCATATGTGTTTGGGATGTTCAGTTTAATCAAGATTTCAATTAAGAAATGGTAGATTTTACCAGAGGTTGATGAAAATAATTTTACCGAAAAACAATATGTTTGTCGTTATCTAAGAAACATGCTCAGATTGCAACAAAATCATTCAAATTTTTGAAATTTCCGGGACCCCCCCCCCCTGTTAGTCATTCTCCGACCTCCTTCGTCATCTACCGGCCATGAAAAATTCAATAATCAAGGCGCACCCCCTAACCTGAAATCCTGGATCCGCCCCTGAAATCCCACCGAACAAAAGACATTTTGATGATTAGTGGCCATCTTGAAAATTTCATATTGAACATATTTCATATTGAACAGAGCATATTAGCATCTAAAACGGCATTAAGGTTCAGCTGGAAAGTAACATTTTGGTAAAAAATTGCTATACCTGCACATGTTATTTGCTGGTACAAAATTAAGTATGAAGGCATGTGTGTATTTCCTTGCTTTTTTCAGGAAAGTATCATTACACTGTCTACTTTTAGTAAACCTGGAAACAGGTCAATGGTAGCTCCTGTGTTGTCTGGAAACTTTGAAAGAAAATTTGGAAAAATAGAAAGTGTGAAATATCAGAATTTCCTGGAGTTCCCATTGAACTCCTACTAGATATTCTTAAAGAAGACAATGTAATGATACTTTCCTGAAAAAAGCAAGGCAACTGACTCATGTCTTCATACTTTATTTTGTACCAGAAAATAACATGTGCTGGTATAGCAATTTTTACCAAAAAGTTACTTTCCAGCTGTACCTTAACATTCAAAGTGTCACTACCTGCCATTTATTTGTTACATTCTCCGACCGCCGAACACCCTCCACAAAAAGTTGGAGACTATAACAATGCCACCACTTCTAATGATGATATAACTACCATACTCTGGCTCTAGATCTATTTCCGATTGATGACCTCTAGATTATTATACGTAGTTTACCCTTTGGGAACCCCATCATGTAATTTCTCTGTTATATATTTTCCAAATTACCAATTATATCTACATCACATGGTTTGCAATATTCCTATTATTGGACGCAATATTTAGTTAAACGCTTCTTTGTCCATTTACTATATAAATATTGACAGTGATCATATCAAACATGAAATGAAATATTAGCCTTGCCCAAGTCAGTCTCTTTTACTTATTTTGGTTTCTATATTCAAGATCAGATAAGTAAAAAATACCGACTTGGGCAAGGCTAATGAAATATGTGTTGTGCATTTTTTCTGTTTGACAATTGATTACGGTATTTCGTCCAGTATTTCGTCCACCATAGACTTACTCCCGGGTATTGCACTTTGAATGGAAAACATAAAAAGTGGTCCCAACGTTCATTAAATGTAAAATTAACACAACAATTGAATTTGATGAAGTATTAATGATATTTTATTGCA